GACATGGAAATTAATGCTCCTATGGCCACAACACATTGCACCACTGCCACCTATCCTGCTATAACCACTCCCATCCTGACCCCTACCCCCCAACCCTCCACACACCAATCCCAGAAGTTCAATTTAATTCTAACCTAGGCCTAGGTTTGGGTCCAAACCCATACCAAAGGGGCATCTAATCCCATGTAAGGCAGTTGAAGTGCTTCCCAAGTCACAAGATAAATTCATTCTTTAGAGTATTAATAACCAGTACCCTAGTATCAACTATGTACCAACTACTGTTGCTAAGGACTTGATACATGTTAGGTCATGGACACATCACAAAGGCCCTATTGTGAGGTAGACACTACTAGTGGCCTCATTTTACATACAAAAAAACAAGTTCAATGTGGCTAGGGCTAAGCCTGCCCTACTTTGCTTTCCCTCATCAGAAACACGGCCCACTCTGAGAGGAGACATGGCTATCGTAAAAAACAGCTGTCTCAGCTCAGAATAATCTGAGCAAAGACTGCTGTTGTGCAGACATTTTGCCTTCAACAAAGGCTCTTCGCAGCCCCACACTTCGGTTTTTTGGTTGTTTTACTTTTGCCTTGACTCCAATAGCCCAATCACCTACGAAGTAACCCTGCCTGTCCCAGAGTGGTGAGGTGGAAAAATCAGCACCTTTTCAGGTTCCATCTCTTAATTGCTCCCTCTTTCTGAGCACAAAACCACATTTCATGTTGAAAATGTAGGAAAATACTTTAAGTATCATTGCTAGTTGTTTTTTATTTAACATTTAGTAGGGATTTGTGTCCCTTCCCTGCTAACTGCCTGTAACCTTCATGATTAGGTTTAAATATCTTTCTTTGGCAGACATCAGGCAAAGGAAATGACATAAACAAGAGCCCACTGTTAAGTCAGACCTCCCTGTGCCAACCCAACCCCTTCAACCAACCATCAACCCTCCCTCCTCAATACCATCTACACATATAAGGGTATACTTTAAACAGTTCATGGAAGATGGTATTAAAAGAGATTTTGGTACCAAAATTTTGAAATCCATTCACACAAGGGGTCTTCAAAAAGTTAATGGAAAATGGTATAACATGAAAAAAAAAAAAAACTATGTGTGGATTTCAAGCATTTTTCATGAAATACCATTTTCCATGAACTTTATAAGGACGCCTTGGGTGACTGGATTTCAAAATTTTTGGTACCAAAATAAATTTATCTTTTAATCCCATCGTCCATGAACTGTTTGAAGTATACCCTCATATTTCCTACTACTTTTCCAATATGAATTTTCTGCTCCACACCAGCCAGTAGGATTATTTCCCTAAGACGCAATGTCTGCTTCCTATACCCTCTCCACTCTCCAACTCATTCAAACTTCCAGCCCCTACTCAACATGCAACTCAACCCCAACTCAATGAGGGCATCCCCCTCTTCCACCCCACTTCTTTCTCTAACATTGGTGCTCAGTCTAACCACACACTCACATTAACCCAGAGCCTTACTCAATTACATTACCTGCTTTGCATTTCTACTTACCTATGTTACATCCTGCCAACTAGATGTTCAGAAACTACTGAAGAGCCAGTTTTGCAGGGCCCCTGCACCCCCTTTTATACTCTCCCCAGTCCCCTAGGACATAATGCTCAATTGATGAGCTCATTTGGTGCTCAGCCAATCCCTGTCAAGTTCATTGCTCTGAGGTCATAATTAATGTCTAGGGGTAACTGCATAGCAGTTATCAAATGATTGGTTTAATTAATTAAAAAACTAAATATCCAAGCTATTTCAGTATCATACTGTCATAAAACAGAAAAATGAAGTTGATCGCTACTTAATGTCTTAAGGACTTCCTTCTCTCTTTCTTAGGAACCAGTAATGACACAATAACCATTCATTCAACTCTTATTCACATAGTAACCTTACCACTTTAGTTTTCTAATCTCTTTTCCAGTATCGCTTCAATTTACCTGTGGCTAAGTACCTATTATGAAATTTAAAAGAACGTCCTTGTCTTCTTAAGATCTCATGTTTTATGTATAGCCACCAGTACCTCATAATTTAATCAGCTTATTCATATCTACAGCGTTAGTTTCCTGAATAGAGACATGTTCTTATTCCTACTATCTTTTGTGTTATCCATTATTCCTTCTCTGAAATTCTTTTCTGTGCCTATTTTTCATTTACTCACTTTCCATCTACTCCTATTGCTGATCTTGTCTTCTTCAAAAAAGCTCCTAATCTTTAGTTTTGGAGCAGATAGAAATGAGAAAGATTTTTGAATGGTGTTGGAACTCACAATTTCATGTCTGTTTTCTTGGAAAGTTGTATCTAGTCTATCCTTATTAAGCTTTGATGAGATCTCAGTTAAGTCAGTTTCCCTACCAAATATTTCTGAAAATAGTTCCTTATTGACTGCTGAAGGGCTTCATATTGAAAGCTTTAACCCTGAAAATGGTACTGAACTTTTAAGAGATTCAATATGTATGGCTGTTGTCAGTCTCTGTATGTTTTTGGCTTTTCTTCCCAACCAAACCATATGGAGGATGTTTTATTTAACTTTATACCCCTACAGTGTCTAATAGTGTTTTCCATACATAGTAGGTGCTACATAAGTGTGTGTTTTTTTTTTTTTTAGTTACTGTCTTCATACCACTCACCCCAGTGTGTTACAGGAACCTGTCCCTCTCCCCCAACTTGTCCCCTTACTCTTAACACCCTAGTGTCTCCATAGGGTTCCCCTTCGCTTTCTTTACCCTCTCTCTGCCTCCCTGTTGTCTCACTCCTTCCAGATGTAAGTGGCAGTGAGGCTTTACACAGGATCCCCACCCCGACATGAGTCAGGCTCTGTGTTGGGTGCTGGGGATACAAAGAAGACCAAGACAGGGTTCTTGCCCTCTGGACCCTCAGAGTCTACAAGGGTTCAGAGATAAGAACAATGACAATAAGTGGGTAAGTTCTGGAACTGAGGCATGTATAGTGTGCTGTTAAAGGAGAGAAAGGCCCACCTCTGACTGGGCTGGCCGGCGGAAGGCTCCCAGCAGCAAGGATAGATACAGTTTCAACACAGAAGAAAGGATGGCATCCAGGGTAGAGTAACTTTGTGTAAAGGCAGCTGGGCATCCAAGAAATAGAAAGAAGCTCATTACGTCCAGAATGAGGAGGTATGGGGGTGAATATTCAAACTGGGCTGAGGACATCGGTGGGGTTTGCTTGTGAAGAGTATGGGATGTCATGATATGGAGCTTGGACTGTACTTTAGGCCAAGAGGGAGCCAGTGGAGGGGGGCATTAGCAATTAATACAACCATGGGTGAATTCATTACTTTCTTTGCTCATTTTTCTCTCCCTCCCTCTCTCTCTTTCACACACACACACACACACACACACACACGATATTTAATGTATTCACTGTTTCCGTAACACACGCGTTTGGAATAAACTTCTGTATCTGTTCTTTTGGCCCTACTTTACTACACTTTGTTTCCCATCACTCTCCTGAGCCATCTTTACCAGCCAGCCCCTCCCGCTCTGACCTAACAGTGAGCTCTTGTTTATGTCACTTCCTTTGCCTGAGATCAGGCCAAAGGCCTCCTCTTCCCAGGTACTCCCTTCCTCTGGCTTCCTCCTAGAGTCCTAGGTGTCCATCGTAGCTTTTGGTACTTTACTGCTTTATGTTGTTGCACGGATTTCTAATTGTGTTCCCCTTGTCTCCCCTACTAAACATAAACTCTCTTGGAGCTAAGGGGCTAAGCTCCAGGTGGTCTAGGGTCACACATTTCCTGCTCTCCACTGAATCCCCAATGCTGAGCTTACAGGAGATGACCAGTTAAGATTCCCTAATCTGTCTCGTCCATTCCATGAAAACAGAGATTTTTGTCTATTCACTGGTGTCTCTCAAGTATCTAGAGCAATGTGTGGCACATAAAAGCTGTTCAACAAATAATGGCTGAATTATGGAATAGGATGTCGGGGATTTTGTCTGCAGTCTTTACCGCTATGTCCACCATCCTTGACACAGCAGCTGCCTGTTAAGCCATTGAATGGGTGAAGCTGAGATCATGACTTCTGCTTCTTCATGGTTTTGAACACACAGTAGTTAGGTGATACCTATTCATGATTGGTGACTTAGAAGTGAAGCAGATTCAGGCCTGCTACTGAACTTGGTATTATCATAAACACAGGTTTCTCATGACTGAGAAGGGTTACCAATTTGCTTGCACAAAACAGGGAGAAACTCTTTCTACAATAGCTACAAACGTTCTCTTCCCCAACCACTGATGTTTCAAGAGACAGAAACAGGGAGGGGAGGGAGGATGCCAAGAGCTGGTCTGTACTGGCAATCCATCTTGACTTTTTTTTTTTTTTTTTTTTTTTTTTTTGACAGGCAGAGTGGATAGTGAGAGAGAAAGGTCTTCCTTTTGCCGTTGGTTCACCCTCCAATGGCTGCCACAGCTGGTGCGCTGCGGCCGGCACACCCCGCTGATCCAAAGGCAGGAGTCAGGTGCTTCTCCTGGTCTCCCATGGATGCAGGGCCCAAGCACTTGGGCCATCCTCCACTGCCTGCCCGGGCCACAGCAGAGAGCTGGCCTGGAAGAGGAGCAACCAGGAAAGAATCCGGCGCCCTGGGACTAGAACCCGGTGTGCTGGCGCCGCTAGGTGGAGGATTAGCCTAGTGAGCCGCGGCGCCGGCCCATCTTGACCATTGAAGCAAGAAGCACACGGTTCTCTCTGTCAACAATATAATCTTATCAGAAATTGAAGCCTAGAGAAGTCAGGTCATGGGTTCAAGGGCAACAGTGAGGAAAACACTGAGGAAGCACAGGAGAAATCTCCAAGGAACAGCAAAGTCAATTTCACTCTTTCCCTCTCCTTGGGGTTTGTGTAATCCCCTTTCATTCAATCCTGATGTCATGCTGAGTCACAAAAAGAAACACTCCTCAGTGCGACACATCTCTGGAGGCTCTTTAGCCAGGGTCTGTTAGTCATCGCTATACTCATGGGCTTAGGGCCAGTGCCATTCACACTTCTCTCTGTCCTGCAGCAGACGGACGCAGTTCCTCCAATCCCTCTACTCCCTCTTCGCTCTAAAACCCTTCTCTGAGGGAGGAAGAGCTATAGCTTTGGGGATAATATAGCTTTAAGGGAACTTTTGGCTGATGCGGACGTCCTAACATCTGGGCAGTGTTAACAGAATCCCGGAGGCCCAGACGGACCAGGAGCCGCTCGTTCTAGGAATGTTAAAGTAGAAGGGATATTTTTTTTTTCCGGCTGATGAGAGGAGCAGAGGAAGGAGAAAAAGGAAGAGAGAGAAAACGAACCACAAAAACATAAAAGAGGTAAGATCTGCAATTACTCCCTTCATGCTACACTGCCCTATTTTGCAGCTATGGAGGGGATAAAGGACCCAGGACTTGGGCAACATGACTCGGGGTGGCAGGGGGAGAAGTTCTTTGATGAAACAGAGTGATATGTGCTTGTCGTCTGGGCCGTGACCTGGCTGCAGAGGGATAGCTGACTCCAGTGAGTCAAGTTTCCAGGCTGAGATTAGGGAGGATGTGGGCAGAGCAGAGGTCACAGACTCCGAATATTGTATCTGAAAAAGGCATACCCCTACACCACAACAGAGGAACTGGAGTGAGGCTGGGTGTGGGACAGGGGCCAGCCATTAGTTACCTAGCTCTGCATTTGCCTGCATCTCTGTTAAGCCCCTTTCTCCTCCTTTTGTTGCCTCTTTCTGCTTTTCTCCAGCTCTTTCCTTTTAGCTCTGTCAGATTCTCTTTCTTTTCTAATATCCTTTCCACATCTTTCCACTTTCCTTGCCTCCCTCACTGGCTCTCAACTTCTCTCTCCTGCTTCCTTGCTCTCTAGATAAAATCTGGAGCCAAGTAGCAATGAATCAGAGGGGGAACTTTTTTCCTTTATTTAACTTCACTTGTCCCTTAGGGACTGGCCAGAATCTGCCATCATTTTATTCCTCCGTTTCTGGGACCACCTCCTGCTCCGAGTGAGGTATCTCATTGATCGCAGGTAGGTGAACGGGTGCTTGCTGAAATCAGTAGCCCTTTTATGCCAATGGGCAGCAAGTTGTAATACTGTACTTTATGAAGTATTTGCCCACTGGGAACCACAAAACTCTCATGCCATTAGAGTGAGGGCAGGGCAGGAAGTGAGAGGGCAATTGGAACCTGCTCACTCTCTCCTCATGGACCTCAGTGGGGGCTCCCTAACCTCGCTGACTTCCTGCTGGCTCAGCAGGGTAAAACTAGAAAGTTAGGCTAGACTTGAATGCCACAAGCCACCACCAAACCACTAAGCCTCAAAGCCCAAAGCTAAGAACAGAATAGAGTTTACTGCCTGGGACACTAGAAAAAGGAAACATCCAGCCCTGTCCAAAATGAAGTTGGTAGTAATAATGTCCAATAATTAGTGATAGCTGGATAGATTGCTTCCTTATGTGCCAGGCAATGATCTATTCTGTAAGGTGTATACTTTTATTATCCCCATTTTATAGATGAAGAAACGGAGGCCCAAAGAAGTTATGGAATTTATCCAAGGTCTGGTTGCTAATGGATGACAAAATTGGATTCACATCCAGATCTGTGTATAACTTCACAGTTAGGCTCTCAGACCATATACTCTAATACTTTCCCTGATTAGTGGTTAGGGAATACTACTAGAATGTACAGAGCCATGACTGGCAGCTTTCAATTGCCAGATTCCCTCTTGATTCTATGTGACTTTTTATTGGCCTTTTCCTAGTATTGGTACATCATTGTCCCTCACTGAACCGTGTACCATTTGGTACCCAAATGAACCATGGGATATTTGCATGTGACCCAAGCAGGGTCAGTTGAAGATTGTTTCATGTCCTCCTCCTTCTCCTTTGAAGAAAATGTACTGTAATGGAAAATCTGTATGGGGGCAGGTGATATAACAGGCATTCATTAATTTTCAAATCTCTCTCCTTCCTCACAGATCCCATAATTGTGTTCCCTTTCACTTTTGGAAGGTTACTGATGGCTAACTTCTGAAAATTACTTTCCTTTACCCTGGTACTACCGGCCACATACCTCTTCTTCTCTCCCTAACTCTACCTTTCAAGGATGACTGGTCAATTAACTCGAAGAGGAGCTTTCTCTCTGCTGCTCTTCCTCACTCCAGCAGTGACACCAACGTGGTATGCAGGTAAGTTCCAGCAGCTGCTGTCTTTATTTCCACTGAGCTAGGGCAGAGCCTAGCTCAAGACTTGGAGGGAAGGTATAGGACCACAATTAGAGAGATTGTTAGATACAGAGATGAGTCATTAATGGACAATGAGGATGGTTAAAGACACATCCTACCAAGAGCTACTGAAAATATGCTACACCAGTACAGAAGTGAGAAAGATAACATGGCCTTTGAGACTCTTATCTTTTGCATCTAGCTTCCTGAAAACCATTTTCAAATATTAACGTCTTCATGAGTCAAATCTTTATTAATGCTAATTCCCTTATGAGTCAAATACTCTTGTGAAGACCCCCCCAAAATAGGCCTTACACCACATATCTTTTTTGAAAAAAGTAAGGGGGACAGGCCATTTATTCAAAGGAAACAAGAATCAGTCAGACTTCCCTTCCCCCCTCCCTCCCTCCTTTCTCTCCCCTCCTCTTCAGATCTTATTTATAACATGAGATTCTCTTAATACTTTTCTGCCAAAGTTGTTAATGGCAATCCAGATGACATTCACTTATTCAGGAATTCCCCAGTTTCTTCTAGCTTGTTCCTCACTTCCGAAGGGATGGAGGTTTCTGGATTCCTGAACGTTTCACCCTTCACCCCTGGAGACATAGGGAACTGAAAAGAACAGCCTCAGTGAGGAGAGGGAGTGGGAGGGGAGCAGGATGAGGGAAGGATAATGAGCTGACATACAGAGGTTTTTTTGATGGGGCCCAGCTGGCATTCCAAGTGCTAAGAATATGCTGTGGCCTGTAGTGTCTGCCCTCACAGGGGCTTTGGGGGGTGGGGGAATGAGACAGACCCAGCCAGTGGGGTTAGGAAAATATCCAGGGATGAGTAAATAACAAACTGCTCCCATCACAGCCACAGTCACTTCAGCTAAAATTTTCCACATGCCCTTAGCTCCTGATGGAGGCCTTTGGCAGTAGTGCTGTTTGTCTGGAACAGCTGCATCAAATATGCAAACTTCATCCCCTGTTTGGCTTAACCTGGCTTTGTAGGGGGTGAAGCACAAGGGCTGACATTGAGATGAAGGAATTCAAGTCAAGCCTTTGGCAGAGCAAACACTGCTTGGGGTTAAAGGAGCCCCAAGTCTCCAGGAGACAAATATGCAGCTGTCCTCCCCAGCCCCTCACTAGCTGCAGTGCAAGCACGGAGGACCAAAATCCTGCCCAAGACCACAGGGCTAAGGGAGTGAAGATTAGATGGCGCAAAGCCCAGTGGGAACACCTGTGTGAAACCTCATGCCCTGCGAAGGCCTTTGCCTTTCCCCGGATCGCGGGAGGGAAGCCGGAGCTGTTGGGAGTCCTGAGGACAGGATGGTTTTGTAAAAATTAGGTTCATTTGAGGTCTCACAGGACTGTTTGCAAAGCTCGCACTTCCCACTTTCATGTGAGTCTCCAGGACCACCTCTCCTTCCTGAGGAACTCAGGCTGGGGAGTTCTCTGACCGTCCTGAAAACCGACTCATTCTGCCCTCTTCCAGTGGTAGGAGGCTTATGTGACACAAGATGTGGAGTCCCATGAGCCTCCTCTACATTGCTAGCTCCGCCGCTGGCCTTGCCTCCACTCATTTGTTCATCTATCCACTCCACAAATATTTACTGAGCACTGTTTATGCATCCAGGATGGTTTCGTTCCCTCCTTTAACCTTGTCCTCAAATGGGAATGGCACAAGGAAAGCAGCCAAGTGTTAATTCAGGGCTAATCAGAGAAAGGATCTGGGAATCATCAGCAGGGGTTAGGAAAAGTTAAGAACGTAAGTAAAGCAGAGTGTGGGAGTACAAGTGTGTGTTGGTGTATCTGTGCAGTTCAGGAAGTCAGACTTGTGTTTGTCATAAGCCAAGCACTAATGTCTTCCATTACCAATTCCACTGCCAGCCATACCTCTGTGAAGGGAAGTGCTTAGAGGGTCTGCACAAGCTATGGAAGATGGAGGAACCCAGAAACAGACCACAGAGTGAACTGATTGATTCAAAGGAACTGAGGCATGCTGCCAAGACCTTCCCCACAAGGGCTGAAGAGGGACAGGCAGACAAAATAATGTGGGGAATGCTCCCTCCTGGTTTCATTCTTATACTCCATCTCAGTATCCCATTTGCAAAAAAAAAAATACTCCAAGAGAGGTGAGGGGCAGGGGGTGGCGATGACAAGGTTTAACATGGCGAGGTGGCCCAAGCCCGCTTCCAGCACAACACAAACCTGGCCCTGGTCTGGCTCCCTCTACACTTTAGCGGAGACTGTAATTATGTCATTGAGCCCTCTCAGTTTTCCCACATCCCCTGTAATTCTGGAATGATGTAAAATGCTTGGTGGCCTTCGATCCCACACACAGAGTAAAAAAAAAAAAAATCTGGTTTGCAAGCAAGATTTTGGTCTTTGATCTCTTTTGGACATTGTCAAAAGCTCTCCTCAGGTTCCATGGTTAGTGGGGTGTCTGCTAGTTAGTTTGGTATCCAGGGGTCTGATAGGCCTGGACTGGGATGGTCACTGTGCTACCTACTGGCTGGGAGACCTCTGGCAACTCCCTCTATCCCTCTGAGTCTGCCTTTTCCTGCGTACATTGGACTGTTACTAGTGACTTCCCCACTGAGCTGCTGTGGGGTTGGACATGGAGACCTCGAGTAATGTGCTTAACACAGAGTTGGAACTGAGCGATGTTAGCACTCATTGTTGTGGGTGTTGTTGTTATCCAGCCCGGGCCCCCTGACACTCCTGTTTTCTCTCCTGCTAAAAGGCTGTTTGCTGCCTGCTGAACATTGCTTCCCAGGCTGGCTCTGTAACAAGGGGGGGGGGGGGGGCTCTAGGGAATCCCATACATCTGGCCTCCTGTTTACAGGAGCTGTAAGGCTTTGAGGCTAATGCTAAATTTAAACAGCTGACAATAATCCCATGTGCCCTCCCCCTACAAAGAAACCTCCCAGGTGGGCAAAGGGAGATGAGACCTAAGGAGAAATTAACAGAAGCCAGAAGAAACAAAATGGGAAAACAGAATGAAAAAAAAAAAAGAAATAAAGGCAGGGAAAGAGAAAAAAATGAACTCTTCCCTGTGGAATGAGGGCAAACCAACAAGGACATGATTTCATAAGGCAAGCTTTCCATTTGATTCATTCTCTTGTTCACCAAGTTGGACTGGTTTCCCAGCAGCCCCCCTCCCCCCTGCCTGGGCTTGTGGGGAGTGGAGGAACTTCAGCATCTGGGCCTCTGCCCCACCCTTTAGTGCAGGGCCCGTGCCTCCTCTCAGAGAAGAGCAGGCGAACTTGCGGTCTGAGTGTTTACACAGGCCCAAGGGCTCCAGCGCTTAAACCCAGCCCTGTCCTGGAAATGCAGAATTGTCTCCTGCCTCCAGCAAGGCCGCCTGCCCTATTCCTGTGCGTGCATTAGGGCTCAGGGCCGCTGGAAGGAAGGCTTCCGGAAACTCTGCTCCGGAAAGGACCAAGTTGTTTTCCAATTAGTTCCTATTCATGGCCGATTTCCTGCCGTCTGGTGGAACATAGTGTTTAGTCTCCCAGACAGCCGCAGACCTGCCTCCACCAGGGACTGGGCTGTTTGGAGGTAGAGCAGGACTGTTCCACAGCTCAGCAACTGTCTGCTAAAGCTCCTGCTGATGAGAGGAACAGGAAATTTATCCAAAGGACTCTGCCTCCTCTTTTCTTGAAACCAGGACTAAGCACTCAGGAAACTGTTCCCATTCCCCTTGCCTTTTGAGCCATCCTTCTGTGCTTTGGCATGCCACCTTCCGGCAACAGCAACCGGGTGGCAAAAGGGCCTGTGCCCTGTGAGCTAGGGGCACTGGAGGTCGTTGCTTCCCTCTGAGGACTGTGAGCAAGCCTATCATGAGGGTCAAGACACTGGGACTCTATTTTTTTCCTGCCACCTAGGACAATAGTCCATCCTCCGAGCTTAGGTCATCACTGTCTCACAAAGACTCATGTGTTGCATCAAGGGAATGGGTCTTTTATAGTCCAGATTGATGAATGGTCAAGAAGTTCAATGTTTTTTCTTGATTAAAGTCACACAGTGCTACCAGGGAGGCCCCCTGACCATGAGCTTGCCCGCATGCATTGAAGTGCTGAGATCTGCCCACAGTAGTTCTGCTTTACAAGGTAGAATTTTTCCCACTATAAATATCCACCTGACTCCTCACCCATGGAAGAGACAAAAATGGATGGGGTAAGGGGAAGCTAGAAAAGACGGGAGTGAGAAACCAACATGCCACCATGATACTGTCTTCTTCATTCTAGGTTCAGGCTATTATCCAGATGAAAGCTACAATGAAGTATACACTGAAGAGGTCCCATGGGCCCGTGCCCTAGACTACCGAGGTAAGCCTCGCTGCTTCCCAGGGTCAGGAAGGGGCTCTGCTGGCCTAAGGCCTAGGCCCTTCCCTGAAGCATCCTCATCCAGGCTTGGCTCATACATGATAAAACTACAGCACAAAGGAACTAGGGGCTTTGATTTCTAATCATGAACTTGGTTATTGTCTTGCTATGTGACTTCACTTCTCTAGCTTGAAGGTTGCTCACCTATTATTAATTATCAGGTATTGACTGAGTACTTACTCCATGCGTAATCCTGTGCAAGGCAAGCCTGTGAGTGGTACAAAGTCTAAGATAGGGTTTTCTCCCCCACAAAGAGCTTGCATCCTGTTAGAGTGAAGGGGGTTCAAATGAGCACATGCAGGGCAAGCCAGAGTGAAACTGTGTGGTAGCAGTAAATGCAGTAGGGGTTAAATCAGGAAATGGATCATGAAGGACGACATTTAGGCTGGCCCTGGAATGATGGGTGGGACTTTGAGAACTGGAAAGGGGAGGGAATCATTTGGCAAAGCAGAGGTCCAAAGTTATGGGAGTAAGAACAAAGTTGGTAAAGGAAGGAGCTAAGAAGATACCAGCCTGACTGAAGGAGATGGCATGTGGAGGGTGTAGTAGAAAATAAAGTTGAATATAAATCTAAGTTAGGAAAGCCTCCATATGCCAGGGACCCATCTCAGTAGAGGCAGAAGGACTCTCTGAAAAATGCTGTCTAGTGATTCCTGCATTAGAAAGAAACTTAGGCCAGGTGCTATCTTTATTTTAAAAAAATTTTTTTAAAGATGTATTCATTTATTTGGAAGGCAGAATTAGAGAGGGATATCTTCCATCTGTTGGTTTACTACCAAATGGCTGCAATGGCCAGGGCTGAGCCAGGCCAAAGCCAGGAGCCTGGAACTCAATCCAGGTCTCCCACATGGATGGCAGGGGCCTAAGCACTTGGGCCAGCTTCTGCTGCTTTCCTAGACGCATTAGCAGGGAGATGGATTGGAAGTAGAGCAGCCAGGACTTGAACTGGCTCTTAGGTGGGATGCCAGCATTGCAGGCAGTGACTTAACCTGCCAGGTGTTATCTAATATTCCTGCCATGGATAATTCTCTGCTTCTATGCTTTGAAAGCTACACAGAAGAGTTTAAATGTTGTACTGGGAGCGATAAGGAGCTGTTCTAGGTTTCTGTGCAGGGGAGTGACAGTGAATGGCAATTTGAGATCATTAACCTGTAACAGAAAGAAGGGGTTCAGAAGGAGCAGGGCCTGAGTCAGGACTCTCTAGGAATTAGTTATAGTAATGTTGACTGGAGATGACTGAGAGGCAAAGAAATGCAGAGTAAAGGATGAATCCAAGACATGTTTCCAGGAAAGAGATGATGGGACTTGGTATGGATCAGATGTACCAACAGGCTAAGAAAGAAATGAATGCCTGAAAGCATCCAGTGTGAACACCTGGGAGAACTGTAAGATTCCTCTCAGAAAGAAAACTAGCTTCATATAGATGCCCTACAGGCAGCTGGAAGAGCAAAGTTGGAGCTTTGTGAGTCACCAGCTTAGATCGATGGCCTGCCTGAGGAAGCAGAGGGCCAGGCTTAGGTCAGAGCCTTAGAAGACATCTATAGATAAGAGTAGGAGAAAAGCCAGAAAGTGAGAGTTAGCGATCTGCCATGCTGGAGAAGATCAGGGGAGCATTTATCAGATTACAGAAGCCACAGGAGAAGACTTTTAAGGAAAGTATAGAAAGAATCAGCAATAGCAGAGCTATTAGATATGACCTGACCTAAGTTTCATTCTAATACAAGAATCACTAATCAGCCTTCCTCAGAGTCCTTCTGCCTCTCTTGAGAAGGGTCTGTCCCTAGAACGTGGGGCCTTTAAGAAAAGGGAAAGGATAAGAGATCAGCGGTGTCAAATATGGCAAAGGGATCAAATGGAGGGTAGCGGGAACACTATTTCACAAGAGCTAAACGGTGACCTTTGAAAAAACAGTTTCAACAGAGAAATGATCAGAGCTTTGGGCTCCTCTATGTGCTCTTGTAGCTGCCTTCACTTAACTTCTTCTCACTGCCAAATGCTGCACTTCCACTGCCTCCCTGTCCCAGCACCCACCAACTCCTCAACTTCCTACAATCTGTTTCCTACCCACCCACAAATCTCCGAGCAGAAAGGACCACTCTTGAAGATCACAGTTTTCTCCAAGTGACCAAATCATGTGGCCCTTTCTAGTGTGGCAGTCTCCTGGGTCTCTGCGGCAACCGTGAGCATAGCCCTTTCTTCTAGGCTGCCCCCACTTCCTTGGGCTCCGTGACAAATAGCAGAAACTGAGAGGGGATCGCTCTCTGGTAGTGACAAAAGAAAGAATGAGGCTGGCAGGTGAACTTTGGGCAACCCTGACCGCTGTCCTGGCTTCCTCCAGCTGCAGCTGGACGCTTCCATGTGTAGATATCTAAAATGAGCTCCTTTCCTCTTACCTGAGAAAGGTTCTACCAGCCGACCTTCATACTTCTGAAAATGATACCATGATTCCATTATTGAACTTCAGACTATCTCTATGTTCCCTCCAAGCAGCCCCAGCAACTTTTCCTCATCGCTTTGCACCAGTCACTTACCAAGACTGGCCATTTCTTTATTAATGCATGAGATTAAAACCTTCACCACCTCACACATGGATAATGGCAGTTGCCTTCTAATGGCATTTTCTGCCTCATGATTCTCTACCCTCTAAACCCGGTGGCCCTCAATGACCATTTTTAATTAGAATCTGACATCTATCTTCCAGGCCTGACAACTCCTTACCCCTTCTCCCCACACTAAATCTGTGCTTTATTCAGGTTGCTCTAGTCTGCTCCCAGACTACATGGGTCCAGACTGATCTTTCCCTCACCAATTCATTTGTTCATTTAATATTTATTGAGTACATACTATGTACCTCTTCTGAAATAAATATCTGGCGCCTAGAATGCCCAGTATGTACTGCCTCTTTATTTTTTATTACCCTCAACATAATAGTCATCTGTTTAACAGGAGGAGCCAAGTATGTCACTCCCACAGAGCCATGTAACAGGCAGATGCTGACTGCTGGCACCTTGGGACCAGAGGGCAGGAGTGGATAGTGAGAAGCAACAGATGTAGAAGGTACTCTTGAGGCGTCTGGCAGCCCTGTGGTTAATATTAACCTTCCTTATTGTTATTTTTAAATGAGCATAAAGCCATTTTAGAAAATATAAGCCTCATAGCAGCCTTTGGTCTTGGGGTTTAGTGTCAAAAAAGTCTCTTTGGAACTTAATCTCAGGGTACAAAACAATTTGAGTGAAGTTATTAATATGAGTGGAAGGCTAGGAAAAGTACAACCTGAGGTTCCATCATCCCTTAGAAAGAATCCATGATCTTATAATCAAAAACTCAGCAACTATAGTGCTTAGTAATCTTCTGTAATTTGGACATGGTATCTCCATATGACAGTCATATGTCATAGCCATATGCTGAAACCCCCCACCGCCACTGGAAGCTACTGCTTGTTGTTGCTTGAGAGGGATAAGACAGTAGCTCCAACACAGGCACTGATTTAGGGACTATCATTCATAGGGGTAGGTATTTCACACAGGCAATGCCATTCAATTCCCACTGCAGCTCTATGGAACTGGTTTCATAACCTCCATTTTTACAGATCAGGGAACCAAGCTCAGGGAAGCTGAATTTAAAGAGTCAGAGAGCTTAGAGGTGGCAGAGCAGGAATTTAAACCTAGGCCTAAATCCAAAGCCACATTCATTCTACTTTTTCATTACAAATTTAATTCACTGTTCCAAAGGAAAGATAAAAAGAAAGAGGTAGCCAGGAAAATGCACATCATTATTTTAGAGCAAACTGTTCATGTAGTTTGGTTCCATTTTCACTAATCTTGTACTTTCTGTCATTCCCTTCTCATGACTCTCAAGTTGGAGTCAGAAACCCTTCTCTGAGGTGCCGCTTTGTTAGCCCTAGGCAAACTTGTCTTCTGTCTGGGTTATGTAAAGATAATCTTGGAGAGGGCCCTTTCAACCCTGTTATTACACAAGAGAGCCCTCCCAGCTCTTGGGCCTGGACACACACCTATTATGTGCCAGTATGTGTTTTATAAATGTTATTTCATTTAAATAAACTGCAGGTGGCTATAGAGCAATAGAGAAAGATCTCTGAAACACATTGTTAAATTAATTGAAAATCAATGGTGGGCAGGGGTGGGTGTTTGGCCTAGCAACTAAGATACTTGCATTCCATGTCAAAGTGCCTGGATTTGACACCCAGCTCCACTCCTGATTCCAGCTTGCTGCTAATGCAGACACTGGGAGAAAACAGTGATGGCTAAAGTGGTTGGGTCCCTGCCACCCTGCCACCTGGATTGAGTTCTTAGCTCATAGCCTCAACTTCAGTCAGAGGTTACTGTGGGCATTTAGGGGGTAGATTGGCAGATGGGCACTGTCTATCTCTCTGCCTCTCAGATAAGTAAATAAAAAGTTTTTTAAAGAGCAATGGTGGGGACAGTGAGCATAATATGCTACTCTATGTGTTTAAAAAGGAGGGAAAAATAAGAATCCATACCAGCATTTGCTTTATATGGCTAAAGAAACTTTTTTGAAAAAAGATTTATTTATTTGAAAGTCAGAGCTGAGTTACACACACACACAGAGACACACACAGAGAGAGAGAGAGAGAGAGAGAGAGAGAGAGAGAATGAATGAATCATCCATTTGCTGGTTCAATCCCCCAAATGGCTACAACACCCAAGGCTGGGCCAGGCTGAAGCCAGGAGCTTCCTTCAGGTCCCCCAAATGGGTGCAGGGGCTCAAGCACTTGGGACATTTTCTGCTGCTTTCCCAGGCCATTAGCAGGGAGCTGGATCAGAGATGGAGTAGCCAGGACAAGAAGCACTCTTAACAGTGCTTCTTTATGAGGGGAAACTAGGTGGGGCTGGGGGTAGGAGGGAGACATTTTACCGTGTAACTTTTTATACTTTGGGATATAAAAAGGTCAATGTTTACTTCAAAATAGTAGTGGATGAAGCTGCTGCTGGCAGATGCTGTGGTTAGAAAGAATGTGGGTTTTGGAGGAGACAAGGCTTCTGTTTAAATTCCAGCTCTGTCCCTTGCATGCTGAGGGACCTTGTGCAAGTTACATCCTCATCTGCTAAACAAGGATAAACACCCACCTATGGCACTGGGCTGCCGGGAGAACCATATGAGATGATGTATGTGCAAAGGAAAATATACAGCATAGGGCAGGGTACACAGTAGATACTCGAAAAAACCCAGCATACTTCCCAGCAGACATTTTCACCTTGCAGTATTTAACCATATTCTTAGTTTCAGATTCTCCACAGCATTCTTTGCATATAGCTGCCCAGCCAGTTAGCAAACTCTTTCACCTTTCGGTCACCTCTCCTGTATTTCTTCATCTCATCCACATCAAACAGCATGCAAAGCATTGTCACATGCCTCATTTACTTGCACGTACTGTACCCATTTTCCTTGCTCTACCAGTCTGGTGGCCCTACCCAAAAAGAAAATGGGGTCAGTCTGGAATTGCTTGTTCTTGAGGCCGATAAGAGATCATCATCTCTCTACTTGCTCAAAGCCTTACATTTGAATATTCTAGAACATGATGCTATCAATGCTGACAGAGTCACTGGACTCTAGTTCCCAGAGGCCACCTTCTTCCTTCTATGAAAAGTGGGATTGTGTTTTTTGCCTTGCAGCATTCTGTTTTTCTGCCAGGCTTCTCCTGGGCCAGCAAATTGGAATGTATTTATAATAGCTGTGCCTTCTCTTACAGTCTCAGCATTTAGCCTGAGCTTTATATTTCCCTTTACTATTCTTGCTAGCTCTACCCGATGTGTATTTTCCATGACTGAATATGGGAGAGAAACAGAATGGGAGTGACTTGTTGAGGTCCCAGCCTCCTGTGTAAGCTCGTTGTGATAGTTGTTGTAGCCTTATCATCTACAGCTCTGCACCTGTAGTGCTTAGCAGATTTTCTGTCATTTGGAGATGCTGTCTCCAGATGGCAGCTGTGTGTCACTGTCATGGGCTGGAAACTATGCTGGAAGCCCCAAGCACAGTGTTGGCTGAACAGTTTTCTCACTGTCATCTGTCTTCGTTCTCCAGCTGGGCTCAAGCAGGGGCTCTCGCCTTTGTTTGTTCCTTTAGCTCCTGATGTGCTTTTTTCCCCAAAGTCCCCTCTTTCCTTTTTTGTCCCTTAGCATTTGGGAACTGAATCAGCTCATGTAAGACTTTAGCCTTCTCAACCCTAGCAGAACAGATTAGTGCCATGCTGTGTGTATACAGCCTCAGGCAGGTGGCCCTCCCCTTTTTTATTTCTGTCCCTTTAAAATATGAACCCACCAGTCATCTATTTTGTATAGCTAATGAGGCGTCTTTATGATGCCTTGACGATTTAACAGCTCCATAACCTTTTGTGTTCACTGCTGAACTGGAATTGAACTTTCATTCCCACGCAGCCTTCTTTGATGTCACATTAACTGCCTTTCTCTAGTTCATATTTTCGTGTTACTTTATAAAAATTTAAATTTACCTACAGGAAAATTCACTCTTTTTGATGTACAGTTCTGTGACTTTTGACAAATGTATAGAGTGAGGTAACCACTACCATAGTACAAAACAGTTCCATCACCTCAAAAACTTGCCAAGGGCTACCTCTTTGGGATTATCCCCTATCTCTACCCCTGATCCCCTGGCAACTTCTGATCTGTATTCCATCCCTATAGACTTTCTTAAATTTTTATTTATTTGAAAGGGAGGGAGGAAGGCAAGAAGGGATGGGGATGTGTATACCTATCTACTACTTGACTCCTCAAATACCTGCAACAGCCAGCACTGGGTCAGGCTGAAGACAAGAGCAGGGAACTCAATCCAGGTCTCCCACATGAGTGACAGGGACCCATTTATTTGAGCCATCACCTGCTGCCTCCCAGGACACACATCGTCAGGAAGTTGGAATCAGAAATAGAGCCAGTACTCCAACCTAGGCACTCCAATATGGGATGCAGGCATCCCAAATGGGGTCTTAACTGTTGTGCCAAATGCCTGTCTCAGCCATCCCTGTATTTTTGCCTATATATGTCCCTATATATTTGTCATATAAATGGAGTCCTTTTGAGATTTTCACTTCAAAAAACTCATTTGAGCTTTATCCATGTATCAGCACTTCATTCTTTTGTATGAATAAACCATAGTTAGTTTAACCATTCACCCATAGAAAGACATTTGAGTTTTCTCCAGCTTTTGGCAATTATGAATATAACTACTTTAAACATTTGTGCATATAATTCTGTGTGAACACAGATTTCCATTTCACTTGGGTCAATATCTTAATGTTGGATTACAGAGATGTACAGTAATTATACCTTTCTTTATAAGAAGATATGATGTTACTTTTATAAGAAACTACCGAAATATTTTCCAAAGTGACTGCATTTTTGCATTTCCACAAGCAATGTAAGACAGTTCCAGTTTCTTTCCTCCATTTTCATCCAATACTTGGTATTGCCAGGGTTTTATTTCTTTTTAGATGTTTTAGTTTAGACATTCTAGTGGGTATATTAACAGTATCTCATTGTGGTTTAATTTGCACTTCTCTAATGGCTAATGGCACTGAACATCTTTTCATGTGCTTATTTGCCACATCTTTGATGACATGTCTGTTCTTACCCTTTGCCCGTGTTATAACTGGATTGTTGGATTTTTTTTTTTTTTTACTGCTGCATTTTAGAGTTCTTTGTATATTCCAGGTACTAGTCCCTTGTTAGATACGTGACTTGCAAATATTTTCTCAGAGTTTGAGGTTTGTCTTTGATCTCTTAATAATACCGTTTGTAGAGTAACAATTTTTAATTTTGATCAGGTCCAATTTATTGAATTTTCTTTTATGAATTGTGTTTTAGGTGTCATGTCTAAGACCCTTTTCCTAGCCCTAGATCCCAGAGATTTTTCTCCTATGCTTTTTCTAAAAGTACTATAATTTACCTCTTTACATTTAAGTGTGTGATCCAGTTAAAGTTCATTTTTTTAATCAGCTGTGAGACTTAGGTCAAGGTTTTTTTTACTTTTTGCATATGGATGCCCAATTGCTCGAACACCATTTGTTTGAAAGGCTATCTTTTGCATCTTTATCATTTCTGCATACTTATGTGGGTCATTTCTGGGCTATTCTGTTCCATTGATTTATGTGTCTGTCTTTTCACCAACACCACAGTATCTTGATTACCGTACTTCTTGTTTACTTTTCTTCTGCTACAGTCCCTCGATGGTGTTATACATTAAATATTCAGGATGGAGAAGCGACGTGCTACTCACCACGGGGAGGAAATTATCACAGCAGCCTGGGCACGCGTTGTGAGCTCTCCTGTGACCGGGGCTTTCGACTGATAGGACAGAGGTCGGTGCAATGCTTGCCAAGTCGCCGTTGGTCTGGAACTGCCTACTGCAGGCGTAAGTTGTACATGTATGTGTGTGTGTGTGTGTGTGTGTGTGTACCCATGCATAGGCTGACATGTGTAAGCTGGCTTGTATAGGTGAGGGAAGCCACATAGCCATACACAGACGGTATATACCTGGAGGTGTTAATATGTCCTCCCAAGTACAAATTGGAAATTTTCCATGGGTTCCAAGAGGCTCTTTCCTCCTCCAAACACTCAATCAGTAACCCAAGCAATGTGGACATTTAAGTAGCAACTAGCCCTTCTGACTCAGGTAGCCCAGGAGCATATGCAGGGGCTAAGCTTTGGGCCTGAGGCCTGATGGGGATTTGAGCCTTCTTCTGGAGCTCCCAAGGATGTATGGTGTCTAACTCTTTTCTACATGTGGCCAACTGCTGTACTTCCTGGCTTTTAGCCTTAGAAGACCTTGCCAGTAAAGCTATGAAACATCTGCTGTTCTTTTTCTTCTCAAAGTCAAGAAGAATCCCTGAGGCTAGAATGTGGGGATCCTAATGCATACATATCCCAAACCATGTCCTCCTTCAGCTTCTACATCCCTCCCTCTTATTCAAGTTCTACAGCTTTTCCACTCCCCTTTTAGCAGCTCAGTTTTGTCTGTCCAGATGTCCATCAATGAACACCATTTATAGGACACTTGTGTCCAGGAAGATGTTGTGGAGGAGATGAGAATCCTGACAGAAAGAAGTCAGTTACTACACCCCTCTAGGTGACTGTAATTAGGTTGATTTAGGACTTAGTCCTCATTATTTCCAAAATAAATTTGAATTGTCCTGACAAAATTGAAAAAAATAAGGCTGTATTACAAAAACCAGTTAAAAGAATATATTACAGGTATTTCCAGGTACCTAGAATGAGTTGATTACTACATTTGAGCACTGAATCTAGCTTTGACCTTCCTCATAAGAGACAAAGGAATGAATACTTTGGATCTGTTGTTCACTCTCATACAATACTAAGCAAATTCTTCTAAGGATGCAAATCTTTTTTATTGGTCTTAATTTCAAGAGGGTCTTTTTTTTTGCAGAATTCTTTACAAAAGGGATATTGGAAAACAGAAAAGGCAAAAATCTTCTAATCTAGTTTGAACAAGAAGCAAAATGAACATAGCTTATGTAGAACTTTATGCAAAGCTCTAATAACTGAACTTAGGCAGAATTAGACAATGTAAAACAATATATGGCCTACTGCTGTCAAGTATCAAATATCTCAAAAAAGACTTTGGCAAGCACAGGCTCATAATGAATTTATAGTGGCAATCTTTGGTACTTGTGGTTTCTAAGATACAGTTTCTTCTTTTGTCAACCACTACCATGCTTGGCCCTCCAGGTACTGGTCTGACTTGTACTGCCACCCAGACAGAGGGCAGGCCCGCTTCGTCATATAAGGGAGTTTCAGCTGAGGAGTGTCTGTGCCAGTGCCAAAATTATATTCAAAGGAGAGTTCTGAATTGCTCAAGGGCATCTAGCATTGGAGGAACAAGAAATGGAAACTAATAGCTGCTGAGGCCCTAAATGAACCTATAAATTAATAGGCATTCTCTTAATCTGCACAATTCTATGAGGTATTCACATGTCATGTATGAAAACACTGAGCCTCAGTAAGAGGTGAGTCTGGGATATGAACTTGAGTCTGATTCTGATGTCTACACATTTTGATAAGCAATTCACTTCTGTCAGGCCATCTCACCACAGAAGGTGCTGATGTACTTTATAGTATGAAGAGAAAGAGAAAATTAGGGGACGGGGGAGGCAGTTAGGCACAAAAATGTGAGGGCAGTTTGGGAATAGTTTCTCTATTTTCTGCTGTTTTTGATATGGTTGTCCCCATACTAGATTCCCAGGCATTGCCTCCAGGTAGTCCCACAGGCCACTGAGCTTGCCACTTGGTTCTCTCTTAGAAATAAGATGCCACACATTGCCATTCATCACTAGTGGCACCTACACCTGCACAAATGGGGTGCTTCTTGACTCCCGCTGTGACTACAGCTGTTCCAGTGGCTACCACCTGGAAGGTGACCGCAGCCGAATCTGCATGGAAGATGGGCGCTGGAGTGGAGGCCAGCCTGTATGTGTAGGTAAATGCTAGATGCTCCCTGTTGTCCTGCTGCAAAGAGTCATGCTAGCATTAGAGCCCCTAAAAGATATGGAATTCCCACTACAGAAGCCATTCCTATTTGTCAGGAAGGTGGCACCCTGGGTGAATGCTTAATGAAATGGTTTTCCCCACCCCCACCCCTGGCCCTTGCCCCCAGTTCGGGTTTCCTTCCCATTTCCTTGAGTACCTTTTGTTTGTAACCTCTTCAGTGGTGTATATATAGCTTGGATGGGTTCTCTCCAGCGAAGGCAGCGAAACAATGAGTCAGCACTTGATTTTTGACCTCCACAGACATAGATCCCCCCAAGATTCGCTGTCCCCATTCACGTGAGAAGATGGCAGAGCCGGAGAAACTGACTGCTCGAGTATACTGGGACCCACCTTTGGTGAAAGATTCTGCTGATGGTACCATCACCAGGTGAGCTTGGGTTACACATGTCCCCTATGCTTCCCAGCAGCTTCTCCACTCCTTCAGGCTGCTCACACTGAAGCGGCACAGGCAGAGGCAGAGGCTACAGTGGTGATGTGCCTCCGATCTCAATTTTAAGAGTCTCTTTCCTCACTAGCTCTTTCACCCTGTCCCATGCAGGGTAACACTTCGGGGCCCTGAACCTGGCTCTCACTTTCCTGAAGGAGAGCATGTGATTCGTTACACTGCCTATGACCAAGCCTACAACCGGGCCAGCTGCAAGTTCATTGTGAAAGTACAAGGTCAGAAAGAATTCTTCCCACATTGTTCCTTGTTCCTGTTCTACCCTGACCTTCTACAAGTCCCACCACAATCTTTTCCTCTCTATGCCTTAAACAGACATACTTCATTTACCCCTGGAGAGGGAAAAGACAAGTTCAGCCAACAGGCTCATTCAGGAAGCCTACATTATATGCACACATACATGTTTTAGAAACCTTGACTCCCCAAAAATACCTCCTCATGCTCCTAAAACTAGATAAAATTCACAAAGAAACTCTGTTTCTTCTCTTGACTTTTAAAATGATCAAATCCAATCAAGCTTCATTCTCAAGGCATTCACCATTCACTGCTGCTGAAATTGGTGTTGGCTGTCTGATTCTTACTCTTTGCTTTGTGTTGTGCTGTTTTGTTTTGCTTTTCTCATTGTAAAATGATTCATGCTTATTGTTGAACATTTAAAAAATAAAGAAATATATAAAGGGGAGAAACCTATTACCCCATCTAGAGAACCAATTGCAAGGTGGTCACCTGTACACAGGGTGTCCATTAAGTCTGGAAATAGATGGCCATATTTTCTTTTACGGATTGATTGTCTTGTGATGTGGCAACATGTCCATTCGTCTGCACGTCCAGATTTTGTGAACTTTTTGTCTGTATTTCATAGTTAATTCCTTTAGAAAGGAAAATTCTAGCTCCTGGCTATTAGAAACATAGAGGGGCTGGTGCTGTGGTGCAGCACGTTAAGCCGTGGCCTGCAGCACCAGTATCCCATATGGGCACTGGTTTGTTCCCAGCTGCTTCACCTCCGATTCAGCTCCCTGCTAATGGCCGGGAAAGTAGCAGAAAATGGCTCAAGTGCTTGGGCCCCTGCTACTCATGTGGGAGACCAGGATGAAGCTCCTGGCTTCAGCCTGGCCCTGCCCCAGTTGTTGTAGCCATTTGGGGGATTGAACCAGCAGATGGAAGATCAATCTCTCTCTCTGTGTCTCTCTATCTCTCCTTTCTCTAACTCTACCTTTCAAATAAATAAATAAATCTTTAAAAAAATAAGAAACATAGGAAAGCCATTAACTTTGATCATCCTGCCTCCTGGTCTAGAAAGCCCAGTTAGGGCCCCTTTTATCCCTTCCTTCCTTCCTAAAAAGTGATACAATAACCCACCCCTCGAATTCCTCCCTGACAGTGAGACGATGCCCAATTCTGAAACCACCACAGCATGGCTACCTCAGCTGCACCTCCGCAGGGGACAACTATGGTGCCACCTGTGAATACCACTGTGATGGTGGTTATGAGCGCCAGGGCACTCCATCCCGAGTCTGCCAGTCCAGTCGCCAGTGGTCAGGATCACCGCCTATCTGTACTCGTGAGTGAAGGCAGGGAATGGAGAGAGTAGATATATGCTTACGATGGGGGAGTGGTGCTTTTGAGGGCCCCCTCTAGGATCATGGGTCCAATGGCAATGTGTTTGATATAAAACTGGAGGGTTCTGAGATGTGTCTGTTTTTAGGGCCAAGGTTCTCTCCCCAGCATGCATTACACCAAGAAGAAGGGTTTAAAATCCCTAAGTGTTCTTTCAGAATGTCCCTCCCAGGGAATGGAGAAACCATGTGAAAGACTGGAACTCTGAGGATGTTCAGTCATCCAAGCTGGGGTGCAGCAGAAGGGCAGCCATACTCTGACTGGCCACCTGCTTCTGCCTTAGCCATGAAAATTAATGTCAACGTCAACTCAGCTGCTGGCCTGCTGGATCAGTTCTATGAGAAACGGCGACTCCTCATCATCTCAGCTCCTGACCCCTCCAATCGATATTATAAAATGCAAATCGCCATGCTTCAGGTGAGACCGCTCCCCTAATGAGAGCTTATGCCTTTACCCCATCACCTTTTCCAAATCAAAGAGTTGCTTAGAATAAATAAACTTTTTTAAAAGAGAGTTGTTGCCACAGCACAAACCCTACTTTTTCACATTTTGTGGGTAATATTTGATCAGCTTAGCATTTAGCACATTGGTTTTTAAATATTTTTAAAATTAAAAAAAATTGATTTATCTGAAAGACAGAGAAAGATAGAGACAGAAATACAGAGGGAGCTCCCATCCATTGGTTCACTCCTCAAACGCCTATAATGGCCAGGGCTGGGCTGAAGTGAAACCTGGAACCAGAAACTGCCAAATGAGTGGAGGGAACTTCGTTACTTGAGCCATTACCCCTACCTCTCAAGGTCTTCATGGGTAGGAAGCTGGAGTCAGGAGTCAGAGCTGGGCATTGAACCCAGGCATTCTGATGTGGGATACAAACATCCTAACTGGTGCTTTGAAAAAAAAAAAAGATTTTATTTATTTGAAGCAAAATGACAGGGAAGGAGGGGGAGGGAGGGAGGGAGAGAGAGAGAGAGAGAGATCGATCCTACATCCACTAGTTTATTCCCCAAGTGCCTGCAACAGCCAGAGCAGGGCCAGGCTGAAGCCAGGAACCCAGAACTCCATCACATTCTCCCACAAGGGGAGCAGGGACCCAAGCACTTGGGCCGCCATTTGCTGCCTTCCTAGGCTCACCAGCAGGAAGCTGGATCAGAAGTAGAGCAGCTGCGACTCAAACCAGCACCCCAATATGGAATGCGGGTGTCCCAAGCAGTGGCTTACACTGCTGCTTCACAATGTCAGCTCCCCCTATTTGGTCTCTTAGCCACTAGGCTAAATGTTCACCCCTTTGTACATTGTTAAACACTGTTACATTTGTACTGAAATGGCAATGATAGCATTGGAATGGTAGCTGTGACTTGCAGGGAGCTGGGTGAAGGATGGGAGAAGAGTGTGGCAAAGCATTCTGGAGAGACTTGGAAGACAGCTTAATCAAATGCAAATGCTGGGAGTTAGCTATATGTTTTCGAGGAATAATAGCACTAACATTTATATGTTTACTGCTTCGCATATACTCATCGAATTCTCACAACAACCCTTATGAGGTAGGTACTATTATGATACCTAGTTAATAGGTAAGCAAACTGAGGCACAGAGAGACTATTTGCTCAAGGTCACTAGCTAGTGAGTGGTAGAGCTGGGATCAAACCCAGGCAGTCTGTCTGCAGGACCTGTGCTCTTTAACCACAATAGTTGAAGAGAAGGGAAAGTATTGTGACACCTCAATGTAAAATGAAGGAGTTGCATGACAATGGCTAACATACTAAAAGATACCTCGCCAAAGCCACTAGTGGGAGAGGGAGATAAGACCGAACAGATATCATTGTGGGGACTTATACAAAGAATATACTGGGTTGCAGAAGAGAATTTAGGGTGTGCTGCCAAGACTAAGAGAAGCAGCTCTGAGGAGCCTCAAACAAGGGAAGAGAAGAAGCCAATTAGGAGGTTCATTTTTTATGAGTGTTTACTGTAAATTTCATCTTTTTAAAAAGTTTATTTATGGGGCCAGCACAGTGGCACAATGGGTTAATGCCCTGGCCTGAAGCGCCGGCATCCCATATGGGTGCCGGTTTGAGACCCAGCTGCTCCACTTCCAGTCCAGATCCCTAATGTGGCCTGGGAAAGCAGTAGAAGATGGCCCAGGTGCTTGGGCCCCTGCACCCACGTGGGAGACCCAGAGGAAGCTCCTGGCTCCTGGCTTTGTATCGGCGTAGCTCCGGCCACTAGGGCCAATTGGGGAGTGAACCATCGGATGGAAGACCTCTCTCTCTCTCTCTCTCCACCTCTCCTCTCTCTGTGTAATTCTGACTTGCAAATAAACAAATACATCTTTTTTAAAAAAAAAAGTTTATTTATTTGAGAGGCATAGAGAGACAAAGAGCTACAATCCATTGGTTCTCTTCCCAAATGCCCACAATGGCTGAGGCTGGTCCAAGCAGACCACCAATACAATCCACAGCTCCCACATGGGTGATGGGATCCCAAATACTGGAGCCATTACTGCTGCCTCCCAGGATCTGCATCAGCAGGAAGCTGGAGTCAGGTGCCAGAGCCAATAATCCAACCCAAACCCTCTGATGTGGGACACTGATGTCTTAACTACTATACAAACACCCACTCCTACTTAGGGGGTTTGGAAGGTTGAATCTGAGAAGTTGCCAAGGTGACACTTGAAGGCCCATGATGGAACCAGTTTTACTGAAAGGATGAACCTGCAGGTCTAGACCAAAGAGGATCTCAACCCTCTAGGGATCCAAAACAGGCAGAGAAAGGCAAACAGCTCAGTTGGAACAGGACATAAGAACAGGTACCTGCTAGTGGCAGGATTAGAGGAGCCCAAAGATGAAACGGGCATGGGGTACCAGGGAGTGTTAAATGCCTCCTTAAACCTCAGTGTGTAATAGGCAACCTTTCAGGACAAGGCAAGACAAAGAGCCAACATAGAGTTCCAGGGTGTGCTGCCAGGGTGAGGATGGCAACAAGGGGTAATGAAAAGAACACTGGGCTATTTATTTTGGACAAATCCTAGAGACTGAGAGAGGGCCCTGGCAATATAGCCTGGTGGTAAGCACATACATTTTGGCAGGTAGAATCAGTCCTCAGTTCAGTTCTTATTTTCCTGCAAATCTGAGCAAGTTACTTTTCTCCTCTTTAGAATGGTACCACCTGGCTTGTTAGGAGCATGTTATGAGGATTTTTCCCAAGTGTTAGAAATGTGTGCCCAATAAACAAGTACCATGGGGTAGGTGTTTAGCGTAATGGTCAAGACACAGGTGAGGATGCCTGTGTCCTACATCTGAGTACCTGGGTTCAACACTTGCCTCTGCCTCCTGAATCCAGCTTCTTCTAACATAGATCCTGGGAGGCAGTACTGATGGTTCAAGTAATTGGGTTCCTGCCGCCCATGTGGGAGACCTGGACCGAGTTCCCAACTCCTGGCTGTTGCCAGCATCTGAGGAGTGAATTATAGATAAGTTCTCTCTCTGTCTCTCAAACAAATATTTTTACAAAACAATAGCAACAATTATATTACAAGAGCCATTTATTAAAAGGCAATGCAGTTCAAACCCTATGCAAAGTTAAGCAATGATTATGTTTCTGCAATTGAGTCATTTTACTTCTCTTTTCTACCCTACATCATGTCACCAATTCCATCCACTTTGGTAGAACAAAGAAAACACTTTGGGAATAAGTACTTTAGGAGTGACAAAGGAAAATGATTGTTGTGGACCCCAAGGGCTTTCAGGGGAAGCCCCTCCTTTCCTTCACTGTCTCATGTGGTCCCAGGAGGAATCAGCCAAGTAGCCTACAATTTGAAAGCAAAGGCCTGTTACACAAAATGTTCTCTCCCCTCCCAGCAATCCACCTGTGGACTGGACTTGAGGCACGTGACCATCATCGAGCTGGTGGGGCAGCCACCTCAGGAGGTGGGGCGCATCCGGGAGCAACAGCTGTCAGCCAACATCATCGAGGAGCTCAGGTCCAGGCTGGGATGGGAGGCTGCAGGCAGGGGTGGGTAGAAACCCTAGGTGGGATGCTGGCAACAGGGTGGTGTGGGAGAATTGGCAGACAAAACTCTCTTGGGTGCACTTGTGTTTGAACCTTTATGGATGCATTAGGTAAGACCAGTGTGTTTTTTAATTCTGGAATCAAATGGAAGCTTAAAATATAGATTACTAGGCCCCACCCCAGACCATCTCAGGAATATGTTTTTATAAAGGCACCTTTATAAAAACTGACCCTGAGGCAAAGCTAGGACTGAGGCAGACCTCAACTTGACTCAGATAAGTCTCTGATCCTGTTGCCTCATGGCCTCATCTCTTTGCCTTCAGTATCCAAAGGAGCAAAAGCCATCTCTAGGCACTGAAACCTAACATACATACCAGCATCTGAGAAAGGAGAAGGCCATGTAAGGGACAGGGGGTAGTTGAGTTGAGTTTTCTCATTATCTATCCCTTATCACCCTTCTAATGCTTCCACAAATACTTATGGCCAATACAGAGATCACTGCTCTCTGTTCTAGAAACATTACTTGCCTATAGAAGGATCCAGTCTCAGTGGGGGCAGAAAGACTCAGTTCATGTTAGGGGAGAGACTAGGAAACCATCAGAGTTAGGAGCCTGCAGACTTGCAGGTACAGAAGAAGTTAGCCAAGCGGTAGTTCTCAACCCCAGGGCTGCCATGCATGATGTGCATACACTTCACAGGGCCTGTGCTAGGTATCCCTGGAGTCACTCCACACAGCCTATGGAGCCATGCACAGTAGACCCGCTTACAAGGGCCTGCAACCAGTGCACAGCCTGGTAATCACACGGCTGCCCCAGTTGGGATGAGGTGGCTTAGCAGAGCTTAATGCATGAGGACAGCAAGACTAGAGGCTGAGTGGAAGAAAGCAACAGGGCTTGTGAGACAGGTAATGGAGGATATGGAGACAGGAGTGGGGTGGGAGAGGAATCAGCCCATCGATGGAGCTGGGAGAGGCCACAGAGTAATGGAGACAGTGGGATGGATACCTAGCTAAGGTCTCACATCTTCCTGGATGTTCTCTCTAGGCAATTTCAGCACCTCACTCGTTCCTACTTCAACATGGTGTTGATTGACAAGCAGGGTATGGACAGGGAACGCTACATGGAACCTGTCACCCCTGAGGAAATCTTCACATTCATTGATGACTACCTGCTGAGCAACCAGGAGCTGACCCAGCGCCGGGAGCAAAGGGATGTGTGCGAGTGAACTTGAGCCAGGGCATGGTGGAGCTGAAGGGACAAGCTTCCCTGGTTAACTAAGATGGGGGCCTAATGAAATGAGGACATGGTTGTTTCTCACAGTTCTAGGGATAGGACTCTGAGGTGGCTGAGGTTCATCGATCCTGCAACATTTCCAGGCACCCTTTTCAGGGTTGTGTAATAGTTTCCCTAAGTAAGTCTCTGCTTCAGGTAGCAATAGAGGAGCATAAGAAGCTAGGTAGGGACTAAGGACAGGCCCTGAGAAGTGGATTGAAGTAGAAGATGTTTCTTTTTTAACCTGGGTCTCTTCCCAGCTCTCCAAAGTCTTTGACATAGTAAATCCTAAATTCATTCACTGTTTTAAATGGGTCTTCTACTCGAAGGTGACAGCAGAGGGCAGCACCATCTCAACAGACAAGGAAGACACTTTAGGCAAGTGTAGCTGGATTTTCCTCACAGCAACAGAATAACTACATCATGGCTTGGGGAGCAGGCAGCTACAAAACATTCTTGAACTTGCTTGTCATTTCCTTTTCTAGGGCATTGGGCTAAAAATGTTCTATGAACCATTGACTCGGGATGCTCTCTGCTGGCCCCTCCAGCTGCTCATGGACAAGAACCTCTTCTTACTGAGATTTCTAATTCCCACAGCAAAAGGCTGACGATGCTATCCCTTCCTCAGAGGAGCCCCCACCTTCTGTGATATAGGAAATCTCAAAAGCACTACTGCAGGTAGTAGGGAAAGTAAGAGAAAACACAGACTCAGCCTTGTGTACTGACTTCATAAGATATCCACTTAATATTTTTATTTATTTAAGAAGAGCTGGAGGGAGAGAGGGAAAGAGAAAGAGAGAAAGAATAAGAGCTCTCTTCCACTAGTTCACACCCCAAATGCCTGCAGCAGCTGAGGATGGGCCAGGCCAAAGTAGGTGCTGGGAACTCAATCCAGGTCTCCCATGTGGGTGGTTGAACACAGGCACTCCTATATGGGACACAGGTGTCTTAACAGCTAAGCTAAACACCCACCCCAGATAACCACTTTTAAGAGATGAGCACAGAACAGGTGAGAGTTGCAGCAGCACAAAGTCAAACCCTGTGAACCAGGAATGAAAAGGAATTTGAGGTAGGGCCTTGTCAAAACACACATGCCTACCCTGACTTGCAGTCCCACCCCTTGCCACTGAGCAGTGTAGTTTATATACTCATGGGACCCAGAGTCATAGATAAGACTCAGAAGCCTTTCTCCTTTAGCTTTATGCAGGGAGTCATCAGTAGAAAACTAGAGGGGGGATCTCACATTGTGGCACAGCGGGTTAAGCCACCTCCTGCAACACTGGCATCCCATATTGGAGTACTGCTTTGAATCCTAGCTCCTCTACTTCCAATCCAGCTCCCTGATATTGTAGCTGGGAAAGCAGCAGAAGATGGCCCAAGTTATTGGGACCCTTCACCCACATCACAGACTTGGATGAAACTCCTGGCTCCTGGATCTGGCCTTGGGCCAGCTCTGGCAGTTACAGCCACTTAGGGAGAGGACCAGCAGATAGAAGCTCACTTTCACTCTCTTCCCTTTTCTCTCTCTCTCACTCTGCCTGTCATATAAATAAATAAATCTTAAAAAAAAAGAAAACTAAAGGTAAGAAGCAGGCAGGTTGTTTAGGTACGCAGAGATAAGAATGCTGGAGCACTCACTGTGTACCAGGTATCATTCTTCATACTGCATTGATTAAAGTCTGTTATTAGCCCTTTACAGAGGAGGGAACTGAAGCTCAGAAAAGTTAGGCAGTTTGCCCAAGATTGGACTGCTAGTAAGTGGCAGGGCCAGGATTTCAACACTGGCAGCCTGGCTCCAGAGCAGTGTTCTCAGCCATGATGCCATCCTGCCTCTATTTCTTTTCCTACTTTCCATTTAAAGACAGATAAAAGGAGAAAGAGTCCATCTTCCCTAATCCTACTCAGATGTAAGGCTTAGAGTGGGCCCCAGAGGAATGGGGGAAATGCAAGGCTCTCAACCCAAAGAAATTGGCTCTTGAAAACAGAGTGGTTAGGCTGTCACCTGCGATACTGGCATCCCACATGGATACCAGTTCAATTCGTGGCTGCTCTGTTTCTGATCCAGCTCCCTGCCAACATGCCTGGGAAAGCAGTGAAAGATGGCCCAACTTCTTGGGCCCCTGAACCCACATGGGAGACCCAAATGAAACTCCTGGCTTCGGCCTCATCTGGCCCTGGCTACTGTAGCCAGTTGGGGAGTGAGCCAGAAGATGGAAGATCTCTATCAATCCCTTTAGCTTTGTAACTCTGCCTTTCAAATAAATAAATAAATCTTTTTTAAAAAGGAGCAGAAACAAAATAAAAAACAATAAAAGCAAAGTGGTGGGACATAAATCACGAGCCTAGAACATACGGGTTCAGCCATGAGTCAGAGAATAGCCATTTCCTCTGGGGTTTTAGTGAGAGTCTCATTTTTACAATGCAAAATAAAAAGGCAGTTGCTGAGTGGAATGTAACGAGGAAATACAGGAGCTATGAGAGGCAGGAAGCAAGTTAGAGGCAGAAGGCAAAAAGAAATGAGTTCCTGTGGGAAATCTATGGTCAGACAAGGTCTGTGGTCCCAAAGGCAATGACTGCACATTGCACTGGGCAAGATGAATGTCCTTCCTTGTCCTTATCATTTAACACTTCCAGTGACAAGCCAGGACATGCTAAGCAGGTCAAAGGACCGAACAGTAACTCAGAGGAGGCCCACTACCTCCTGAACAGAGTTCCCACCTGGGCCCGACTCTTGCCTATCCAAAGACATTTCAAAAGATTTGTGGGAAATGAGAATACAAGATCATTTTGTTGCAAAAAAACAACTTTAAAATCTAGGAAAGTTTTTTTCTAATACACTTTTCATGAAGGTTTTGGAGACTGCTTGTATGCTGGGATTTCAAATTTTTTGCACCAGAATAAACTCATTTTTAAATTCCATTTTTCCATGGGTGTTTAATTTTTTTTTATTTGAGAGGCAGAGAGATATATAGAGCTAGAGCTCCCATGGTTGGTTCCCCAAATGCCTGCACCCAATTACTTGAGCCATCTGCTGCATGCCAACATCTGCATTAACAGGAAGCTGTTACCAGGAGCCGCAGCAAGGCATCGAACCAGGGCATTCCATCATGGGATGCAGGTTTCTTAGCCATTAGGCTGAGTGCCTGGCCCCTCCATGAACTTGTGAAGTCTTCTTTGTAATTGCTCCTCTAGCTTAAAAGAATTGTAGAGCTTTTGTTTCATTTTGAGCAGTCAAGGCAAGTCAGTGTTACTTTCTTCAGGTGAAGTTTCACTCTAACTTCTTTTGTAGTCTTGTAGACTATGACTGAAGAGACCCCAACTCCATTAAGTAGGGGAAAGAGACAGTAGCAGAATCAGGGCCACAGCCAAACCCAAACGGGCTAGCCTGCTCTCAACCCTTTACTCCCGCTCCCCTTTCTCTGTTCTCACTTCTCCCCCACCCAGTCCTCACTCTATTCTTTTCTCTCCTCCCTTCCCTCCTTTTCCCTCTCTCTCTCTCCTCCACGGCCCGCCCCTGCCCCTGCTACCTCGAACACAAACACCCAAGATATAAAGTTACTAAGCTGGCTATGTAATGTCCAAAGCATTCTGATTGTTGTGCTTTGTAAATTAAACTTATTTCCTTAAGATATTTTGGAAGAGATGAGTCATCCCTTCCTTTGATTTTTCACACTTAACACACATGTCATTCTCACAGGAGGTGGCATGGCATGATAGGGTCTGACCTTGATTCAAATCCCGACTCTGTTACGTGACAGTGAAGATTTCCTATTTCACAACGTGCTTGGAGAAATTAAAGAAGATCTACATACAGCCTTGTACACACAAGGCATTCAATATGTAGTAATACCCTTTTGCATAAGAGGCCAAGAATTGCTTGGGTTCTACCTACAAACCAGGGCTTTATTTCTGGTATGGGTTACTCTGCATCTGTGTTACTTCTCTCTCAAAACTAAATAATGGAAGTAGGTGTGAAGGAAAAAGTCATCACCTGCAAAAAACACTGAAGGATCCAAAAAGAATCACTTACAGCATGGAATATCTTCCCTCACTTCCTGCGTGAACCTCCCTCCCCTTCCTCCAGCACAGGGGTGTCTATGAAGCTACAGGAAGAGTTCCCTGTAGGACTCTCTCCCCTGAAGGAGAGCAAAGCAATGCCACTTTTCAGATGGGTTCTCGTTGCTCTCCTTAGATACCAAACACAAAGGGTAAGGGGATCAGAGCTCAGTGGAAATATGAGGCAGCAATCTGGGGAAAGGTCAATTTTCTTCAAAGTAGCACAGGAGGGTTAGGGAAAGGGCATTTTTCACTCTGGTGCTTACCCTTCAAGCCATGTGAAAAACCAACAGCAGTAAGTCAGGACATCAGAGACAAAAGCATCTATAGAACTACCAAATGCAAACATTTGATAAGTGAGAAAGCTTTATTGAAGCACACATACATGTCAGGGGGTGGGAAACAAAGGAGCAAGTTACAGCCCAGGATCCCAAGTTATGCCTTCCATTACAATATCACCCCACACCAAACAAATCATTCCTTCATTCAGTTCCCACATACAACAGAAACCCCTGGAGCCACCCTCACTCCTGTAGCCTTTTCAGAGAGTCAGCTAGCTGTAGACTGAATGGAAAGGGATTCTTTTCTGGTACAGACTCCTCCCACACACAACTTACTGCAGATACACTCCTAAGAACCAAAAGGTCAGGTTGGGACAGTGAAGACCAAAAAATGAAACAGCTCACCAGACCCTTCTTGGAAAAGCCTCAACACACCCATACATGGCGGTCAAGTTTAGGAAACAGCAACATTGAGAAGGGAAACCACTTCAGGTAAGAAGTCTGCAGAAAGGAGAGAATTCTCTGTCTACATTCTCTTGGAGCACCAACAGTCCCCAGCCTGGAGAACGTTTAGACAGTATTTGACTCTTCAGGCAGACACAGTGGTAGGTAGACCATGTTTTGTGAGTCAAACACCCAGACACAAACATGAAGAAGGCTGTGTTACATGAGAGAGAAGATGTCTCCAACAACTGCTGCTGCATCAGTGTTAAAAAGTGCTAAGAATTTGGTATGGGCTGTGACACTCTCAGGTCACTGGAGTCCTCTGGGATCATCTAGAAGCTCTCACTGGGCATGTTCATGACTCAGTCAAAAGGCCATCGACTCATTAAAGTGGTTTTCTAAAGCAGCTCCATTCTAAGGGTTCCCCCCACCCCAGGTCTAGGAAAAGGGGATAGAACTGGAAAGAGCTGGGGAATTTTCTTAGTATTTCAAAGAAAACCATTAGATGCAAACAAGGCAGACACTGCTTAGAAACAGGGGAAAAGTTAAAAGTGGACATTGAGAAATTTGTCAGGGTATAAATGAGTTAAAAGCATATCTTGGAGAGGAAGAAGAAGACCTACTCCCCTGTCTTCCACACTCCCCTGTCTTTAGTAACCCCACTCTGCTTTCTAGAGCCTTGGCCTCAGATCAGGCACAGCTTAACCTACAGAATGATACTAATGCCCAAAGATAGCCAGGACTCCCAGGGCATGTAGGGACAAGGACAGCTAGACAGAAGATTAAAAAGGTTGTTTAAAAAGATTTTTTAAGTTAATTAAACCTCATAAAGATATAAGCAAGAATGGACTCTTGAAAACATACTAGATTATGCACAAATAAAAACTTTTCAAAGAGACCCTTACTCTTGTGCCTGCTTTAAAAAGAGGAGCACATCTACATCACTCTAGCTAGCACAGTGAGATTCGCAAAAACACGTTTCTATACACACACACACACACACACGACACACACACACACATTAAATTATAACTTTTCACTCTTGGTTTCTTCACTTCCTCTGACTTGCCCTGGCCAGGGCTGCACCTGCAGAGGAGGGCAAGGACTCATAAACACAGCTTCTGCTTGGCCATCGAGGAACGGAGCTGCAGAGTCCCTTCCGCCCACGACCCTGGGTACTGGCGCATCTTCTGCCACAGGCTCACTTCTTCCCCAGTCGAGTCCATCCAGTCCACCACTTCCCCATTACTGATCCCTGAGGAGAAACACCAGAGGAGGCTGAACAGGGGCTCCAATCCTCAGCCCACCAGGCAGGATGGGTTACACAGCAAGGCCACCCCATAACAGACAGTGTGCTATGGAGATGGGCTGATGGGGACAGAAGTCTGGGAAGTGCTCCCGGTCGATCCCGCACAGATTGTTGCCCTTGAGAACCCATCAGTGACTCCAGGTTTCTAAAATGGGGCTCCAAATGGTACATAGTCACCAAAGACTTCTTATTCTGGGACTGTGACAGAGCTCTCATGTCTGCCCCTCATGTCAGGGCTCCTACCCTTCTGTTATTGCAACTTGAGATAACAGAAACACAACAAAGCACAGCCACTGAACACCCTTTTCCCTAGCTGTATGATCCAGGCCAAAAGTTAGCACGGGAGGTGGCCTCATTCCTGTTCTTTTGTGCATTCATTCACTCAGCAAACATTTCTTGAGCATCTACTCTATGCCAGGTACTCTTCTCAGCTCTGGAGACGCCATGGTTAAGAAAGCAGAAGAAAAAAGCCCCTGTCCTCAGGCAGCTTACATTTGACCAGGGAAGACAAAAAACATACGAGCAAACCAGCAAGAGCATTTGGGATAGTGTGATTCACAGTATAAAGTAAATAAGCAGGTGACTGGTAGTGCCTGGATTAGGACCCACGGAAGATGGCGTAGCCAGGTGGACTGAGAAGGAGGTATTTGAGATAAGACCTGAAGATGGGAAGGAGCCAGCGTTTGCAGGCAGCAGCAACAATAATCGCAAAGATTCTGAAGTGTGGATGAGCTGGGTAAATTAGGATAGTGGAAAGAAAGTCGCCGTGATTGGAGCCTGATGAGCACACGTTAGAGAGATTTCAGATGACTCAGAAAGAAGGGAGCTTTCAGACAAGATAGGGGCCTGCAGGCCTAGTACAAACTTCAGGTTGTTTTTCACATACAGTAGGAAGCCACTGCAGGGTTTTAAGCAGGGGGCCCAGGCTTACCTGTGTACAAATATAACTCCGGGCACTGTGCGTTAATTGTGTGAGTTGTCAATATACAAGTGGTAGTTAAGGCCATGAGAATGCAGACTGTGGAGAGAGAAATAAAGAGGTCCAAGACCAAGCTCTGAGAGGGACCAAAACATTTAGAGTCTGAATAGAGAATGAGGAACCTATAGAGAAAACTGAGGAGTGAAGTAGTGACTTGAAATCAAAAAGCATAATGTCGTTAGAAGCTAAGTATTTCAAGAAAAGGGGAGTGGTGTGCAGGGTTCAACAGTGCTGCAAATTCCAGGAAGATGAAAATCATATTGTGGCATGACCAACTGCTCTGCAGAGTGGTGGCACAGAAGCCAGATCCCGATGGGTTGAGAACTAAAGGAGAGAGAAGAAAATAGAGGCCATTTGTTTTAAGAAGAGAGGGCAGCAGGGTAGTGAAGGGAGTTTTTTGTTGTGGTGGTGGTTGTTCAGTAAGAGTGGAAATACTAGGGCACACCTGTATTCACCTCTTCCAGAGAAGGAGGATGAAACGGATCACCCAGGACAGATGGAGATTACACAGGTGAGGTCAGTGGGCTGGGGTGGTGGGGTGGTCCAGATACTCGGAGAGAGCTTGGCCTTCACTAGCAAAGACTCGTCCCATTTTAACAAGACATGAGGTGGAAATTACAGGTACAGATACTAAGCAGGCTTGTAGAGTTACAGGTGGGAAGAGTATGGCATTCCTTGCAATCAAGGTCACATTTATCTATACACATAACAGTGTGTAAGTTCAGCCTTCCCCTCGGCCTGGCACATAGTAGGCACTCAGTAAGTGTTTGCTGGATGTTAACTGAAAAGAAAGAAGGTAACTGTTGTCATAGAGGAGTTTTGTGTGTGCAGGAGCACCGAGGGTGGGGGGGAGGAGGGGGGAAAGGGAGGTACTGGGATTGAAATAGGCAAGAGGCCTTTGAAACAAGTGAGGATGGGGGAGAGGCTCTCACCAGTGCCAACACCCAGTCTGACCCCTCCCAGGAAGTCATTGCTGGCCAGGGCTTCCCGGTCCCACACAGTCAGTTCCAGGCACATGTGTTGTAGATCTTCCAGCCTCACACCATTGTAGACAAATGTATGGTTGTAGTGGGGATTCAGGGTCTTCTTCACCACGGGAGTTTTACGCTTACTGGCCTTGGTCCTCATGGGCAGGAGGTATCTGGCAGAGGGTGGGGAGTAGTCAGCAGCCTACTCAAAGCCAGCAACATCTGTCTAAAGTCCCCTTTTTTTGACCACAGGCCTGGCCCAGCAAGGTACATCAACACCCAGAACCTAGTACACACAGCCCTCCTCTGAATCTGCTGAAGCAGACGTCCTACTACCTCCACTAGATCATGCACCTGATCCAATTCCTGTTACCTGGAGAGGAAATGAATATATTAGCGAAGTTGCTATCTGTGCTCCACCAAAACTAGGTTTTAAATATGTGGTCCCACTGCTACTTGGTAAGGTTCTCTTTAAATAAAACCAACGGCAGCATCTGTAGGCTCAGCCAAACAAGTGTTGGTAACGAATGTCCATCCTTGGGTGATCTATAATCTGGGGATAGCAAGCATTGCTTAAAAATCACAGGAAACAAAGCCCCGAGTTCCCAAATCCACACAGTCAGGGGCCATGGGTTTTCATCCAGGACTACTTCAGAGCAGGGGTGGGAGAACAGCCAGACTATATCTGAGTACCTTCCTACTCTTTGCATAGCAATGCTACAGCCCAGTCCAACCTGGGCTCAGACCAGTACACAAGTGGTGGTGGAGGTGTTACCATTATGGAATTTCAGGAACAAGGCAAACAAAGCTGGAGCTTGGGAGGACACATAAGGACAGCATCCACAGGGAAGGGTTAAATTGGGTTCCTCCCTTGGCTCTCACGTCCTGGAACTGGTTAGTTAGTTTGGCACTGGTCCAGGGACTCACCCCTTGACAAAGCTGTCTGAAGTCCCTCCTGATTTGGCAGCCGTCAGGTTCTTGGCTTCTTTGATCCACACCTGGAGCTCTCCCCCTTCCCCACCTTTACCTGTAAGGGACGTCAGCCATAGCAAGTGAGCTGCTACACTCTGGATTTGTCCTAAGCTCTAGCTATGCAGCACTCCCTTCTCTTGCTCTGTAACAACCTGAGGCAGACTTCACCTGTATCCTCAGTACCTAGCCCAGTACCTGACTGTAAGCCATAGGTGCTCAGTTAATCCCACTACAACAGCAATAAATAGTAACTGCAAATGGGAATGGGCTATGCGCCAGAGACTACCTTAAGCATTTCATTCTCAAAACAACCCTCCGAGATATACACTATTTTTGTCCTCATTTGATAGATGAAGAAACTGAGGCTTAGAGAAATAAAGTTCCTGATACTTGTTGAATGATTAAAAAGGGAACTCCTCCACTTGAGTTCTTGCTCCAGTCCTCACTTCACAGGACTCATCAGGTAGCACCAACTTCGACCCTCACCTCCCATTTGTAAGATTTGTTTCTCAGTCTACATATGTGCTAATCTCACTGGTTCTTTCAAAAAGAAAGAAAGAAAGAAAGGAAGGAAGAAAGGAAGGAAGGAAGGAAGGAAGGAAGGAAGGAAGGAAGGAAGGAAGGAAGGAAGAAAGAAAACATCCTTTGAAAAGAATATCTCCCTTCAAGCTTCTCTCTCCTTCAGGTTATTCTTGATGTGTCTGTCTCCTTTCGTTCACCATCAACTACCCTGAAAAAGAAATCCACACTCACTGGCTCTACTGCTTTGCCTGGTTCACTCAGTCTAGTTTCTAGTGAAATCTGGTTGCTGCCTCAACTAATGCACTGAAAATACAGTGCAATGCCAGTGAGGCGAGTCTGCTCAGTCCTCAGCTGGCCTGGCCCATGCCCTCCTTTGCCTTTTTTCCGAAGCTCTCCTGGCATTTCTCTCGCCTGGTGTCCCTCTCTTTCACTGCCACTTCTTTCCCTCTTTATCCTTCACTGTTGCTTTTCCCCATGGTTCTATCACTTCTCTAAATATTCAACACACCCTCCTTGGGGATTTCACTGATGCCCCAAATCTTCTCGATTAGACCTGGCTGAAGATCTGTTTTGGAAGAACTTTGCCTTCCCACGGCTGATGGATCAAGCTAAACTCCTTACCACTGTGGCCAGGCTCTATTCAGTTAAGCCCCTATTCCAGCCCCCTGCCACACATGTGTACCAACACTGCAGTCCACTGAAATAAGGGGTCACTCCCCCACCCTCACATATAACCTCACATTTCCCATGCCTGTTAAAACCTTGGCATGTGCAATCCTGTCTTCTGGAAATACTCCTCTCTCCACATCCTCTTCCTTTTTGCCTATTAAAGTCCTAGTGTCCAGTTTCAACATTACCTTCTCCTAGCGCTCCCAAATGTAACCAGACAGAATTCATGACTCCTGGACCTGTGTCCCTTTAGCACATGACTGTTTTGGTTTAATTCATTCCTCAAAGGAGGTCAAATATCACATCTTCCTCCCGTGCATCACCTACATATCCATAGTCACTAGCACAGTGCCTGGCATGCTGAATTATTCTCCCTCAGCCTTCGGTTTCCTACTCCTCAAACTTGATTTGACCACTCCTGCTAACTGCCCTTCGCAGCCCCAATGTTTCTGTTCTCTTCTGTCCTCATCATAGCCTGCCATAGATGGACTGAGACCATGTCAGGTTAATAGTATTTAGAAAAAAGGAATGTCAACCCTAAGGTGCTCCCTTTTGATTGAAAAGTACAGAAAAGGCTTCCTTAGTAACAGAGTCTTCCCTGACCCAGGGAGCATCCCAATCTGGGCTCTCTACCTGTGCAACCCAGAGCCAGCAGCAGCCTCGCACAGATCCTGTGCAGAAGACTAAGGGCTAAAGCCAGGGCCCCAGAGAAAACTCACTCTTTTTCCGGTCACCTCCAACAGGGAGTTTGGAGGCTGGGATGTATTTCAATGAAACCACCAACTCGCCTTTGTGTGATGGCAAGCCAGTCAGGGACTCAGCACTGACCTGAAACACAGGGAAACCCATCACGTCAAGCCAGGCTGCTCAGGCAGTTGGGATCATTCCCTGAGGGCGTCCTAAACAGTATCCCCCAAGAACAGCTTCTCAGCAAAAGAGGCTCCTAGCTCCTTATGAATACAACCCAGGGTCCTCAGGCCATGGCTGCCACAGGTTTTCAAGGCAGTCTCCAGGAGGAGCCTAGTAGTGGCAACAACCAAGAGCCTTCCGCAATCCCCACTACTATGGCACCGTGGGGACACAGTTAGTAGACTGCAAACACTCAAAGGTCTTCCAGCAAGCTTGCCACACAACTCACAAAGGATTGACACCATGACAAAGAATCTTGCTGCCAGGGTTGTTAGTAATAGCCAGAAAGTGGAAACAGCCTAAATATCAATCAATATAGGAAGTGATTTCAATATCTTCCTATGGCATGTGGCAGGCAGTCATCAATGAGAATGCAGGGAATCTGTCCATGCTGACATGGAAAGATGTCTAAGACATTCTGTTAAGCCAACAAAGCAATGTGCAGAGAAAATATCTCACGTTAAAATATATTCATATTTGTCTATGTGAATATATATATATGTAAATAGTAAGTGGTATCATGACCACTTCTATGCAGCACTTACTATGTGCCAAGTATTGTTTTAAGTACATTAAATACATTGTTTTGTTTAATCCTCAAGATACTCCTTATGAGACAGGTATTATTATCCCTGTCTTACAAGCTATGAAACAGAGGAACAGAGACATTAAGTAACTTTCCCAAGATCACACAATTAGTAACTGGAAGATACAGGATTCAAATGCAGGCAGAGTACATGCTTTTAGCCAGAGTATTACACTGCGTAGAAAACCCTAGAAGGATGCAAAGTTAACACTTGTTTCCACTAGGGAGGAGAAAAGACTAGGGATTAAAGGGCTTTCCCTTCTTCCTCTGTAATAACGGCAGCTACAGTGTCTTTTAAAATGAGAATGGCACATATCACTAGTGTTGTTTCTAAAGATAGAAAGTATGTTTGTTGAAACGGCTTGCAAAGATTTGAGGGCTAGATGGAACTCTTACAAGGATTTGAATATGGCACAATTCTCAATTTTACAGTTACTCACATTATGTTTGAGTAGTGTCTGTCTCTACCACCAGAATCTAAGTGCCAGGAGGATAAGAATCAAGTCTATTTTTGTTCATCCTAGTACGTTGAACACGTAGCAAAATATGAGCACACAGTAGACACTCCACAGATATTAACATAATGAGCATAAGAGTAGTTGAATCGGTATCTGGGATGAGCAGTGCGTGGCCCACCATCTTTTGCTTTGAGTGGTAGAATTGCTTCACTCTATTGGGTCTTTCTGGTTTGACTCTGTTCTTTATGATTTGGTATCCAGAGCTTGGGCTGGGGTAGACTAGAGGTGCCCGTTTACATGCCTGTGTTCACTAGGGTCCTGTAACCTTGGTCCTTACTCTGAACACACTGACATTAGACAGGCATAATCCCCATAGGTCTGGGTCAGGTAGCACATCCCCAGACAACACAAAGTTTAGTACAGGGGACAGACGCAGAAGAAGCAAGAGGTGGATGCTACTAAGTGAAAACCAAAGGGAGCAAATGGATTTCTAGAGACAAGTAAGAAAAACCAGAAAGAACAAATGTAGAATGCTTTCAGATAAAATATTTAATATGAGAGTAGAATTTTGTCATTTATGAAAGTCCATGCAATTTATTAATTTCTAGGTTATGAACTTCAGTAGATTTTTAAAAAAAATGGAGTTTAGCATTAGTTAGACACTGGCATATTTGTTTCAGCAACACATTTCAATTCTGGCTTAAAATTCTTTGCAAAGAATAAATACCCCATTTTAATGCAGATGCTTCTCTTTATGTAAGACATTTTAATTGGCAGTAGCTTGTGACATGTCCAGTACAATCATATCACGAGTAGACCCAAGAGGATGACTTCTATGTCAGATGCTTGAAAAATTCTAGGTTCTAATAATTGCTTTCCTGCTCTTATTAGTATTTAAAGGGGACAAATTTGCCATTGTCATTATTTTTGGAGGGCAACAGCTATCAAATTATGAGTTATGCGTTTCTTTTGACTCAGCAATTCCACCACCAGGAATCCCTCTGACAGTTATAGAAGCCCAAGATATACTAGAGCATGGTTTTAAGAGAAAGTAAACATGTGAACAATTAAATGCCCATTAGTGATGGAGTGGTAAGTAAGTTAGCATCCAGGGACATGGCAGAAGGCTATGAGAAAAGAAAATGATAGATCTGTAAGCAGTGGCCTAAGGATGCCCATGATAAATTGTAAAATTACCATAATCAAGAGAAACAACGAGGTTCACGTGAGCCCATTTGTGCAAAAGTGTGTTTGTGTGTGTGTGTGTGTGTGTGTATAATGTGTAGATGTATATCTGTGCTGCTTGATACAAGATTTCTAGAATGATATCCAACCAGCTGTTTACAATGGTTATTTCTGGGGAATGAAATCTACTTCCTCTTTTAAAAAACACTTTCTATTGGTTTAGTTCTGAACCACATGCATGTATGTCCTCTAATGCTTAATTTTCTTAACATTGCAAAAAGTTCAAACGTTCAAAAGGGGCATATAAAGCAGCCGAAAGCCCCCTTCTGTTTCAGTCTCCCTCCCTAGAGGCAGCCATCAATACTAATTTCTTTCATAACTTTCCAAAAATATTCTATGCATCATGGATTATCTTAAACATTTAAGATGCTAATATAAAACAATTTTAAAGAGGAACTTTGTCATTGCATAGTTCTGATGATCAAGAAGTTGCTGAGTCCTGTTTTAGCAATTTCAACTTAACCAGGATTGTTGAACGCTCCCTATGTGCCAGGCTCTGACTGGTACTTTGTATATAATCCTGAAAAAGAGGCACATTATTGTTTTATTGTTTGTCCATCTTTAAACAAGAAGCTGAGGCTCCTAGAGCTTTGGGTGACTTTCCTAAGCTACTTCATGAGTTAGGTGACTCACCTAGCGGACAAGGGCCAGAACCAGGATTCAGTGCAGGCCTGCACTCAGATGCCAGGCACGGTCATGCCGCACTGCTGCACTCTCACCTGAGATGCCATCTCCAGAGTAAATTTCTCTCGCCCGTGTAACGAGGAACACAGCAATGGAGTTTCATGAACTGCTTTACTTCCCACTTCCTCAGCAAGAAAGTTAGCTTGGAAAACAGGCACAGATTAGGATACACCCAGAGGGTTAACTTGGAAAAGAGATGCAAGTTAGGACGTTAGGAAACACTCAGGCTATGAAAGGTTAGGAGGCAAAGCTTGACACACATATTAAAGACTTTTCAATGCAAACCAAGGCTTCACACTTTGCCCGGCTTATGCGGAAGAGAGCATTCACGCTTAACACACCAAGTGCCTCTAAAATTGATGTCAAACTCAGAAGTGCCAGCAGGGTGCGCTAGAACTCCACATAAGACTACATACAAAGCTGCTAACAACACTGACCAGCAGAGGTCGCTGCAGATAATTCTACCTCTGATCGCCCTGCGGAAGGAATTGTTAAAAAGCTGACTACCTTTCCGTGTAAAGGGAGGCAATGATCCAGTCTCTTATCGAGCTTCCAGGAATCCATCTGGACCTCTGCCTCTCCAAGGAAAGTGTTTCTGCCAAAACGACCGTGATGCCAAACCGAGAACTGCAAAGTCCTCTGGGCCAGGAGAGACTCTGGGATCTCATACTGTGAAGGGAAAAGTGGAAGCCGGGGATGATTAGTTAGTGGCAATTCACAGAAATGCTGATTCCAAATCCTAACCAACCCAGAGTTCTAAGCACTTTGACTCTCCTCACTCAAAGCTTCAATGAACCTCATTTTGCAGAAACTTACCATGAGAGGACCTAGAAATTTAATTATTTTTTTCCTTAAGTAAGTGAGAAAACACTGGGACATCCCAAAAGAACTGCCAAGGAGACTCCGTATCCCACATGACTTTTTAAGAAGAGACTTTTGGCCACGTGACTGTCCAGCTTCACAAGGATATTTGAGAGATCACCTTCGTTCTTCTCGGGGAGGTCAGGATGTGATCAGGTGCCCAGACCAATCCTCAGACACAGACGCGATCTGCTGCAAGCCATGTCAACTGGCCAGGGTGCAGAGGAATAGCTCCAGCTCAGGGGCAAGACAGAGTGAGTTCTCCTGCCCTCGGCGTCTCCATACTTACCCGGAGGAGTTCATCATAGAGTGGATTGACGGTGTCCCGCTTGATGCTGGTTTTCCTTTTGCCTTGGCGGGACTTGTCAGGCAGAAGGTAAGTCTTCACATATCTAGAAACCAAAGAGGGCACTGAGTCATTCGCTGTCCTGTCTCCAGCCCATTCTTCACTTCCCTTTGCTTTCCCTAAAAATGTACCATGATGAAATGCCATGTCAAAAGTGCCGCATCAAGCCCTCTGAGACATGCCATTCTTGCTGTTTCCCAATCCTGGCTCCCCTCCTGCATCACACCTCCCTGTGCGCCCAGGAAGTGATAAGCTTGCTCCAGAGCACCCAGACAGATGCCAGGGTCTGGTCTCGTCCCAGAGCCCCGGTCAGGCTCCGGAAGCACTCACGGGTTAGAGCGCTTCTTGGCTTCATCAGCAAAGGCCAGCTGGTGGCACTCCTTCACGTGGATGACCAGAGTCTGTGTGTGTTGCTCATACTTCAGGGAAAAGGCAATCTTGCCAGTCACAAAGACGTTCCCGAAATCACCAGCTTCACTATAGATGCTCATCATGCTGCCGATCGTACTCTGAAGAGAAAGCACCCACAAACATCCGGGCATTGCTTGCATCTTCCCTCAGCAGAAAGCCAGAGTCACTGAACAAAGCAAACACTTGGGAAACCCCTGCACTGAGCCAGCACTGCCAACAGTCCTTGACCCAAAGGATAAGACAGAGCCAGCAAGACACTCACAATTGCCCGGGTTCATAAATCAACTCACAGCTCATCAAGACTCTTAGCTTCTCATTTCCCCCTGTTTGTACACATTTTATTGTTCATTTTCACCTACCGCAGAAGGTGGGCAAGGAGGAGAGGTAAGGTGCAGCTAAGTCCATTGTTGCTATATTTTCTATCAGAGGCCTCCAAAAAATTTGTGGAAAAATGAAATGAAAAGGTAACGCAAATTTTCCATGTACCTTTTGGAGCCCCCCTTTGATGCTAGAATGTTGGCAAGAAGGGGTTAGTTACTAGTTAAGACAATGTATCTTTCTTATCTGTACATTTCTTTAGTCACCTGATCTCTATCAAGACCTACAGCAAAAAGAGATTGGGCTATAACTGGGGGTAGGGTGGAGAGAAAACACCACCAGTGGTGCAGAGGCACTTTCCTCACTGGTAATGATCAGTATGTGAGCCTGACTAATGTCCTAAGTATGCAGATTGATACCTAGGGGAAACAGAGTCAGGAACAAGGGAAGAAAATGTCCCTTTAACTTCATGAGCTTCCCTGGTGTTATTGACCTCCACCCTACCTGGATGCTAATTAACTCTGCCAGAGCTAGTGGTACTCAGTTCCCTTTAATAGGAGAATTTGAAGCTGGCTATGATGAAGAAACCTGATCTTGCTCACGTCATGGCCAGGGTCCCTCTAAAGTGGAGAAATTATTCTTACTGTCCACAAATCCACAAAGCTGCAATGACAACTGTCGCTAGCCCCAGTTACCTAATGTAACAATCTCGAGGACAGTGGCCTAGGAAGTTACTTCGATATACACTGAGCACTGAGGTTTCTAAAGTGAGGGTAGAAGAAGCAAATGCCTCTGGCTTACCTGAGAAGGGTGACTGGCATGCTGTCCCCAAGTATTGAGTCTGCTCTAGAGAGGCGCTTCTTTGCTTCCTCTTGCCTCGCCATGTCTATAATCACAGAACTAAAGAAACTTACCATGGAGGAGCCACTTTGCATGCTGCTCCGGGCTAGTTTCTGGCGATGCAACTTCACCAGGTGGTCGATGTCTTCCTCTTCTTCTTCTTCCTCTTCCTGGAATAATATAGATTCAGAATCAATAAAAACTGTTAAAAAGTTCAAAGACTAATGGCTCTCCTCTAGTGGGAAACATAATTATTGCAAAGCTCTGAGGTGTCACGTGTACATGTATGCACATATCCTTTTTATATATCTCTCCATTTCCAGCTTCTCAGCTCTGTTCCAACCATCTTTCTCATATCTCAAAAGAATAAAACAGGGGTGGGCATTTGGTGCAGTGGTTAACATGCCACTTGACACCCACATCCCATGTCATAGTGCCTAGTTCAAATCCCAGCTTCTCGGCTTCCAATCCACTTTCTTGCTAACACACACCCTGGAAGGCAGAAAATGATGGCTCAAGTACTTGCATCCCTGCCACCCACATGGGAGAACCAGACTGAGTTCCAGGCTCCTGGCTTCAGTCTGGCCCAGCTCAGGTTGTTGTGTGTATTTGGGGAGTGAACTGGTGGGCAGAAGGTCTCTGTCTGTCTGTCTGCCTTTCAAATAAATAAAAGTAAATAAATAAAAGTTTTTAATGGAATTAAAAAGACAAATTTATTTTTGGTGCAAAGTTTTGAAATCCACGCTTACACGGGGTATTGAGAAAGTTCACAGATGGGGTCAGCGCTGTGACACAGTAGGCTAAGCCTCCACTTGTGATGCCAGCATCCCATATGGGCACCAGTTTGTATCCCAGCTGCTCCTCTTCTGATCCAGCTCTCTGTTTATGGTCTGGGAAAGCAGTGGAGGATGGCCCAAGTGCTTGGGCCCCTGCACTCACATGAGAGACCTGGAAGATGCTCCTGGCTCCTGGCTTTGGATCAGCCATTGTGGCCATTTGGAGAGTGAACCAGCAGATGGAGGACCTTTCTGTGTCTCTCTCTCTCTCTGTCTGTAATTCTACCTCTCAAATAAATAAAAATTTATAAAAAAGAAAGCTCATAGAAATTGTACATTGTGAAAAGTAGATTTCAAAAATTTTTGCACCAAAACAAACCTATCTTTTAATCCCACTTTCTATGAACTTCTTGAAGTACTTTCATATATCCAGCAATGTATTAGGATGTAAATGGGACAGCAACAATAGTTCCCCCCTTTAAGCAAATAAGGAACTGAATTTTCCTTACAAGTTTGGGGGAATTAAGATTAATGGTGCCTTTTTCTAAAGAGTTAAACAAGTTGATTGAAAGTATCTATATTATTGTAGGAAGAGGAAGAAGAAAAAGAGGAAGACATTATCTAGATAAGTTAAATTTCGTACAGTGACCAAGTGAAATGCAAGGGCACTTACCAAATCCATACTAAGGCCTGGGACAGATTTGCTTCTGTCTCCTAAGGAGCCACTTTCATTCCCCACATCTTCTGGGCGAAGATCTATCACAGATTTAGTGTATTCTGAGTGGAAGACCAAAAACTCAAATCAAAAGAGAAACTACTCTTCTTCACACCAAAATAACAACAAGGGTACTCAAAACTTTTGCCCCAAAGGGACATGAAGGGAAAGCAGCTACCTGAAGGCCTGAGGATTTTTCTGGTGTTCTTCTTGAATATCATTTCACTCTCATCAACAGATAGCACATTTTGACCCCCAGGCTGAGTTTCCTAGGAAGCAATAAGGGCAAGGAAATGGAAAAGGACAATTGGGCAGACAGTGAGGCAGATAGAAGGAGTGAGTAAGGAAGGATAGCCTTAGGAAGAATTGGGCTCAGTCTTTTGCTAAACCATGACAAACTTAAAGATTAAATGCCTGGAAGCAGCACAAAACTTATTTTCTCACATTTCAACCAAAACCTTAGAAAATGTTTCCAAGTGCATCTGAACTGAAATTTGTTTATTTGAACTTCCTGACTTAAATTCTGCCCGAGAAAAGAGAGAAAGGGAGGCCAGTGCTATAGTGTTGTAGGCTAAGCCTCTGCCTGCAGTGCCAATATCCCATGTGGGCACCAGTTCAAGTCCAAGCTGCTCCTCTTCCAATCCAGCTGTCTGCTGTGGCCTGGGAAAGCAGTAGAAGATGGCCCAAGTCCTTGGGCCCTGCACCCGCGTGGGAGACCTGGAAGAAGCTCCTGGCTCCTGGCTTCAGATCAGCCGTTGTGGCCATTTGGGAAGTAAACCAGAAGATGGGAGACCTTTCTCTCTGTCTCTCCCTCTCTGTCTGTAACTCTACCTCTCAAATAAATAAATAAAAAATCTTAAAAAAAAAGAAAAGAGAGAAGGGGGGGAGGGAAAGGAGTGAAGGAAAGAGGCATGCAAGCAGGCAGGCCAGTAACCTGAGGCTTACCTTTTCTACTTGAGATCTGGGGGAAGACATCTTCTTCCATTCTGGAAAGAGGCCAGATTTATCCAGAGAGTCGGTCCTGGAGATAGATTGAGAAGTTATAACTAAGTTACACCTTCTCCTTCCCCTTCTACCCGGGGCCCAAAATTCTATGGAGGGAGAGCACTGGCTTGGGGTCAAATCCAGAAGGTCCACTTCACTTCTAATTTCCTTGAAAAAAAAAAAAACGCAAAAGATCAAATAGGCAATTTTTCTCAAACACAAACATTCATGCCCACAAATGCTAAAGAATCAGCTGCTGCTGGGGCTATGCAGCCTGGAATCATGTTAAAATTTTTTTGAATTTATTAAACAGATGGAGATCTCCCATCTGCTGATTCATTCATCACAACAGCCAAGGCTGGAGCAGGCCGAAGTGAGGGACCAGGAACTCAATTTGACTCCTGTGTGGATGGCAGGGACCCACTGACTTGAGCCACCACTGCTGCCACCCAGAGTATACATTAGCAGGAACCTGGAGTAAGCATCTGGTGCAGGAAATCAAACCCAGGCACTTTTTTGAGAGATGTGAGCATCTTAGCCACTGCACCAGAGCCCTGCTCCAGACTGGGGAAATTAACCTACTCCAGGAAGCTGTGTCCAGAGCTAAATCAGTAGAAGTGTTGCTGAAACACGTCTGGTGAGATCAGAGAAAATACTTACTTCATTTGGTTTCCTGAGGACAGAAAGCTGGAGCACAGAAGCAAAGGAACCGTGCATCCTGAGGCTAGAGAACAAAGTGGGAACTCTGGGGTTGAACAGAGGTGGGGGAAATCAAAGAATCTCACCTGGAGGTGCTATCCGAGTCAGCTGTGTAGCTATCCAGGCTCTCACTCTCAGCCTCCAGTGCACTCTTCCCACTTTTCGCCTTTGGCACTTCAAGCGGCACACTGAAATAAAAACCAAGAACCAATGCTTGAGGAAGCAGGTCTCCTGCCTCTACTCTGGGCTCCTTCTAGCCCAGTCACAATGTGAGCCCAAGTGATCTTTCTAAAATAAAGCTGAGTACACGTTTACAACTCTCCAGTAGCTCCTCACTGCTACTGAGATTGAGTTCAAATTCCTTCGCATGATAGTCCTTACGGTTCGTCCCTGTTCACCTCTCCAGCCCCATCCTTGACACTCCATTCCTCCTCACACTTTATATTGCACAAAGATAAGTTCTTTTGACTCCCTGAATATCCCCAAGCTCTCCCTTTCCCTGTTTTCCCTGCATGGGATATTCTTGTCACAATGATCGTCCTTCTTCACCTCCCTAATTGTTTTGTCTTCAACTCTTTTGTTATATGTTGATTCCTCCCATTTCTCTGAGCACACTCTCACCCCAACTCTAGATGAGTAACCTTCCTATGTGGCTCCTGCAGCACCCAGATTTCTCGGTACCAGTAATTACATATGTAATTATTAGACTATGTCGTTTATACAAATAATTTGTTCAGTAATTTAAACAAATAATCTATTTAATGTCTTTCTTCTCCATTAGACTAAACCCTAAGATATCAGTGACCACACATTATGTTCAGGGCTATGTTCCCAATCCATAGAAGAGAGACTAGTGTAGAGTAGGTATTCAAAGATTTTATGGCCTGATTCCTGATTTAATATCCTCAGTACGGGGCTGGTGTTCTTTTGTGGGGTGGGGGTTAAGCTGTCACCTGTGACACCAGCATCCCTCTTCTGATCTGGCACCCTGCTAATATGCCCTGGAAAGCAGTAGAAGATGGTCCAACTACTTGGGACCCTGCACCCATGTCAGGGACCTGGATGGAATTCCAGACTCCTGGCTTTGGTGTGGCCCAGCCCCAGTCATTACAGACATTTGGGAGATGAACCAACAGATCTCAATATTTCTCTCTCTCTCTGTGTGTGTGTGTGTCCCTCTCTCTGTAACTCTGCCTTTCAAATAAATAAATACATCTTTAAAAAATGAATAATAAACAAATACCCTCAGTGGGGCTTAGGTTTATCCACGGATTAGCAGTATGTCATAAAGATAGCATTCAGAAGACCAGAATCTTTTGCATCTTAATAACATCAGTGAGGATGGACCCTGAGCATTCAAAGCAGCAGTCCTCATCTCTAAAGGGAAGGACGCAGTTCCTGGGCCCCTTACCCCAAAGAATTAATGAGAGCAGCAGGGAGAGAGAAAAAAAATTCTCCCTCAAGTATCTCAAGTAACTTTCCTTGACTCCCAGGACACCACACTCTCCTGGTTTCCTCCTCCAACTTCACTGGCAGCCCCTTTTCAGTCTCCCTTTGCTGCTCTCACCTGCTCTCCCAATCTGCTAATCTTTGGACTATGTCCAGGTTTCTCCCTTGGGCTGTTGCTCTTCTCTATATAGAATTCTCCCTAAATGATCTCAGCTAGTCTCATGGCTTTAAATATCCTCTGTAAACTAGTAACTCATATTTATCTCTTATTCAAACTCCAGCCTTATTTTTCCAATGTTCTACTCAACATCTCCAGTTGGACATCTCAAACACAGAAAAGTCTAAGACCTAAGCCCTAATCCTCCCCCAAACCAGCTTTTCCCTCAATCTTGTCAAATGGCAGCACCCTTTTTATTTCTCAAGCCAACCATCTCAAGGACCATCTTTGGCTTCCCTTTCTCTCCCTCCCTAACCCTCACCTTCCCTCCCTCTCACTCTGTCCCTCCCTCTCCTCTCTTCCTCCCTTCCCCCTTTCTCTTTCTTTAAAATCAAATCTGTCAGCAAATCCTCTTGGCTATCGTCTTTAATGTATATCTGCCATCTAATCAGTTCTCACTGCCTCCATTGCCATTACTCTGATCTAAATCACCATCATCTAGCAACAACTCTTCCTGCTTCTTTCCTTGTTTCTTAGATACAATCTAGTAACAGACAAAATGAGCTTTCAAAATATAACTCAGACCTGAAAATGACCCAATGACACAGCAATTCCACTTTTAGGTATATACTGAAAACATGTGTTTACATAAGAGTTTCAAATGAATGTTCACAGCATTATTTGTAACAGCCAAAAGGTAGAAACAACTCAAATGTCTATCAGTGGATGACTGATAAAATGGGTATATACCTATACAATGGAAAATTATCTATCCATATAAGGGAATGAAGTTCTGATGTGTGCCACAACATGGATGAATCTTTCTTTTTTCATGGATAAATCTTAAAAACAATATGCTAAGTGAAAAAGTCAGTTACGAATGCCACATTTTATCTGACCCCATTGATATGACATGTCCTGAAAAGGCAAATCCACAGAAACTGAAAGAAGATTATGGTGTTGGGGAAATTGGTATTGACTGTTTCATGGGTATGAAATTTCTTTTGAGGGTGAAAATATTTTGGCATTAGATAGTAGTGATGAGTGCATAACATTCGGAGAGCATTAACAGCCACAAAATCGTATACTTTATAATCATATTAAGTGTATAACTGATCATATATATAGGATTAAGTGTCAAAGGATCACATAAATAAGACCAAGTGTCTGGTAATAACAGTAGATAGAATTGAAAAAGAGAAAATGATCCAACATGGGAAGCAGGCCACATAGCAGACTCATAGAATGACAAATACCCTAAATAGCACTCTGACCTCAGAATCAGCCCTTAAAGCATTTGGATCTGGCTGAAAAGCCCAGGAGAGCATTTCAGGCATGGAAAGCCAAGACACTGTGGCAAAAATGTTCTACATGAAGGATCTCTATGAGATCACAGTGGAAAGAAGAGGTTACCAAAGAAGGATGTACTTTTCTCTGAAGGGATGAGAGAACTTCCACTTTGCATATGGCCCTGTCTAAATACCAATGGAGTTTGTGGACTCAAAAGGCTTCCATAGCCTTGGCAGCTCACATCAAGAGCCTTAGGTGGTCACTGACGTCATAAACAAGAGTGTTAATTGTTAAATCAACAACAGGAGTCATTGCACTTACTCCCCATGTTGGACCTCTGTCCTTAATGAGGTGTACTATGAGAATTAACGGTAAAACCTGTCTTCAAATAGTACTTTATACTTTGTGTGTCTCTCTGTGTGCTAACAGTGGAAATCTCTACTTAGTATAGAGTTGGTCTTCTGTATATAAGGTGAATTAAAAATGAATCTTAATGAAAAATGTAATGGTGGAGGGAGCAGCAGGTGGGATGGGAGTGGGGGTGGGAGGGCGGGAATGGGGGGAAGAAACACTATATTCCTAAAAGCTGTACATATGAAATTTTGTATTCATTAAATAAAAACCTTAAAAAGAATGTTAAAAAATCATACACTTTAAATTTTTTAATGATAGTTTTATATTATGTGAATTTTATCTCATTTGTAAAAAAGAAAAAAAAAAAGATCACATTGATCAGAGTTATCTTTCCCAGAGTACAAGACAGTCCTTACAACTGTCAACAAAGTCTTGCATCATCTCCTCCCATGCCCCCCACCCCCGCTCATTCAGTTCCAGATTACTCAAAAGCACCAAGCACACACTCTTTACACGGGCTGCTTTCTCTGCTTACAATGATTTTCCGTTGGATACCCTCAGGGCTTGCTCTCTTATTTGCTTCATGTCTTTTCTCAAATGTCACCTTATTATTAAGAACTGGCCTGGCTATCCTAAAGAAAACAGCGTATGTATACACATGCATTCCTGGCACTCCCTATTCCTTTAGCCTACTTAATTTTCTCCATTACACTTGTCAACATTTGATACTACATGTTCACTGGATTGTTTTCTGTGTCTGCCACTCCCCAAATCTAAGTTCCACAAGCAACAAATCCTTGTATATTCATCAGTGTATGCCAGTGCCTAAAACAGTGCCTGGCACAGAGTTGGCATTCATAGATATTCGTCAAGCAAACCAACAAGTTAATAAATGAACAAAGAATAAGGTAATCAAAATCTATAGTGCCTTAGCCAGTAAAGAATAAACTTTCCAAGTGGTCACATGATGCTGAGACAGTTCGTGAAAATAGACAGCAGCAGTTGAAATCTTAGAGTGCCTAAAGAGGTGAAAAATCAAGTGTTCCCTTGAGAGATGTATTAGCTTTATGGTACAAGACACAGCAAGCAGCTTGATTTCATTTTTTTTACTTTACAGTCATTCTGTTTTCCCCTTTGCTCCAAAGAAAAATAAACCCCAAGTGGAACCATTCCTCTAGAGAGGTGGTTTCACGATGGCCCATGGAGAGTGTTTTATGCTTGTATTTTTTCCTAAAGATTAATACGTGCTGATCCAGGGATGATACAAACAACCCTAGGGCAAAAAAGCAATTATTTGACATCTGTGCAATAAAAAAGAGACTAAGATATGGGAGTTCTGGGTTTTAACTATCTGTATGATCTCAGGTAAATCACTTACCCTGCTTTCTTTTCTCTGAAAATAAAGAAGGTGAATTAGATTATCTCTGAGGCCCCATAATTTTATGGGAAAGATAATTTATGTTCACCCAATCTCTTTTCATGTTTAGGATAAATAAGAGTCCTCTGGGTCCAATGAAACAAGAGGCCACTGACAGCCAGAAGCAGTGCGTTTCAGAAATTACATTTGACTCATGATGTCAGATGTGTTAATCAGGTTCAGCAAATAAAATCCATCCTTATCCACAAAGGAAAAAGGGGGCCTCATCACCTGGAACAGATGAGTCACCCACTCAAAGCTGTGTGCATAAAATCACAGTACATACATTCAATGAAACACCATACAGAGAGCAAAAGTGAAGTAGACCCTTGGTGCTCACACGGAAAGGTGTTCACATTATATTTTCCCCACAATTTGTTTCTTATACTTTGAGTTGTAACTGATAAAAATAAGCTGCATGTGTTTTAGTGCACAACTTGATGAATCTTGACATACGTACACATCCATGAAACCATCACCACAATTAAGTTAATGAACGTATCTATACAGACTAATACTGGTTTTTTAAAATTCGGTTTCTGGGGGCCAGCACTGTGGCACAGTGGGTTAAAGCCCTGACCTGAAGCACCAGCATCCCTTATGGGTGCCAGTTCAAGACCTGGCTGCTCCTCTTCCGATCCAGCTCTCTGCTATGACCTGGGATAGCAGTAGAAGATGGTCTAAGTCCTTGGGCCCCTGCACCCACGTGGGAGACCCAGAAGAAGCTCAGGCTATTACAAATAAAGCTTCCATGAACAGTCAATCTGTCTTTGTACAGACATGTAATTTCACAACTATAGAGTAAATCTCTAGGAACAGAATGGCTACAAGGTAGATGCACACTGAACTTTTCAAGATACTACTGACTTATTTTTCAAAGTGGATGCACCACTGTATATCACCATCAGACGTGTATGAGAATTCTAGTTGTTCTAAATCCTCACCAGCAATTGATGAGGTCAGTCTTTTTCATTTTAGCCATTCTAATGGGAATACAGTAGTATATTATTGGGATTTTTTCATTTGCATTTATCTAATGGTAAGTGAGGTTGAATATCTTTTCATGTGCTTATTTGACATCTGCATATTGTCTTCAGTGAAACATGCTAAAATCTTTTTACCCATTTTCTATGGGATTATCCATATCATTGAGGTGTTTTTAAAGTTTTATTTTTATAGTCTTTAAAGTAGTCTTTAAAGTCAAATATAGCTGAGTGTGGGGAAGAAGGAAATTGTTTCAAGTTTGAAGTGAGAAGTCTGTCCAGAAGAACTCATCCATATTACTTTATAGCAAACAAAAGATATAGACAAACTTCCCACATTTAACATCAGCAAAATCAAATGAAATAGTCTGACTGATATATATATATATGTATATATATATATATATGCAGACACAGAGCGCGGAAAGATGGAAACAACTTGCAAGATGGACAAAGAGGCCGGCGCCGCGGCTCACTAGGCTAATCCTCCGCCTAGCGGCGCCGGCACACCGGGTTCTAGTCCCGGTTGGGGCGCCGGATTCTGTCCCGGTTGCCCCTCTTCCAGGCCAGCCCTCTGCTGTGGCCAGGGAGTGCAGTGGAGGATGGCCCAGGTGCTTGGGCCCTGCACCCCATGGGAGACCAGGAAAAGCACCTGGCTCCTGGCTCCTGCCATCGGATCAGCGCGGTGCGCCGGCCGCGGCCAGCCATTGGAGGGGTGAACCAACGGCAAAGGAAGACCTTTCTCTCTGTCTCTCTCTCTCACTGGTCCACTCTGGCCTGGTCAAAGAAAAAAAAAAAAAAAAAAAAAAAAAA